AGGTAGTCTTGCTTCTGGTCCTTGTGTTCCCTTCTAATATACAGATTCTCCCCACTTACATAAAGATTCTACACATGGTAGTCTTGCCTCTGGCCCTTGTGTTCCCTTCTAATATACAGATTCTCCCCACTAACATAAAGATTCTACACATGGTAGTCTTGCCTCTGGCCCTTGTGTTCCCTTCTAATATACAGATTCTCCCCACTTACATAAAGATTCTACACATGGTAGTCTTGCTTCTGGTCCTTGTGTTCCCTTCTAATATACAGATTCTCCCCACTTACATAAAGATTCTACACATGGTAGTCTTGCCTCTGGCCCTTGTGTTCCCTTCTAATATACAGATTCTCCCCACTAACATAAAGATTCTACACATGGTAGTCTTGCCTCTGGCCCTTGTTTACCCTAGTAACATACACATATGGTAGTCTTGCCACTGACCCTTGTTTTCCCTAGTAACAGGTTGGTTCAAGATTTCAGACCCATCTTTCTCACATAGATTGCTGAACTTATTTTAGTTAAGAATTCCTAATAGAATTAAGAATTAATAGCTGAAACTGTTCTGTTTGTCCTAGCAAACAATATCCCAATATGCATTTGAAATTCATTTTTGTCTATATGTGTTGACAGTCTGTGATGTCATCATCAATCATCACAATGGGAATTAGGTGAATTCTATCTGTGACAGTGAGATTATCTATGATGTCACATAGTAGTTTGATTTCTAAGAAATGTGGCAGAGTTCTATCTATGACAGAGATGCTTTGTGATGTCATCATGAATTATCTCGTTTCCATTGTGATGCTTGATGATGTCATCAGAGTACTTTGTGATGTCATCGTGAATTACCTCATTTCTATTGTGATGATTGATGATGACATCACAGACTGTCAACAAATAGACAGAAGAAGTTGAACTACAAGTTGGAAAATTGTTTGCTAGGGCAAAACAACTCAGTTTCAGCTAATAATTCTTAATTCTATTAGGAATTCTTAACTAACAATGGTTCAGCAATCTGTGCCAGAATGATGGGTCTTAAATCTTGAACTACCATTAAAGCTCAGCATAAAATGGGACATCACTTTTTATGCTAGCATAAAATGGGATATCACTTTTTAAAAAAGTGATATCAAAAAATTACTTTTTTTAAAAATCAACAAATCTGGGTATTTGTTACAGTCCATTTTTATATAATCCGCTGTTGTATGTTACTGGGGAACACAAGGCCCAGAGGCAAGACTACCTTGTGGCGAGCAGAGCAAGGCACAGTGACTGATTCTTATAGCAGGGTCTTAGTTTTATAACGTGGGAGGTCTTAGTTTTATAACAGGGTCTTAGTTTTATAACATGGGGGGTCTTAGTTTTATAACAGGGTCTTAGTTTTATAACGTGGGGGGTCTTAGTTTTATAACAGGGTCTTAGTTTTATAACGTGGGGGGTCTTAGTTTTATAACAGGGTCTTAGTTTTATAACGTGGGGGGTCTTAGTTTTATAACATGGGGGGTCTTAGTTTTATAACAGGGTCTTAGTTTTATAACGTGGGGGGTCTTAGTTTTATAACAGGGTCTTAGTTTTATAACGTTGGGGGTCTTAGTTTTATAACAGGGTCTTAGTTTTATAACGTGGGGGTTCTTAGTTTTATAACAGGGTCTTAGTTTTATAACGTGGGGGGTCTTAGTTTTATAACAGGGTCTTAGTTTTATAACGTGGGGGGTCTTAGTTTTATAACAGGGTCTTAGTTTTATTACGTGGGGGGTCTTAGTTTTATAACAGGGTCTTAGTTTTATAACGTGGGGGGTCTTAGTTTTATAACAGGGTCTTAGTTTTATTACATGGGGGGTCTTAGTTTTATAACAGGGTCTTAGTTTTATAACGTGGGGGGTCTTAGTTTTGTAGGTCTTAGGTCTTAGGTCTTTGTTTTGTAGACACCCCACTTTTTGCAAAACCAAGGGCATTTAAAAAGATTATTCAAATAAGCTAACATGAATAAATGTAATTTCTCCTAATGAACTCCCTAATTCTCTTTAATTGATACCAATTTCATCAAAATCAGTGCAATATTTAGTGAAAATCTAAGCACAAGCGCCAAAGGGAAGAGACTAAAACCTAAGAACCCAGCAAGAAAAGCAAACTCAAATAAAGCCTTGAAATAGAAAATAATTGATTCACTGAAGTCAGTGCCTATCGAAAATTACAATATACTATACCTTCACTTTTCCTTAACTTAGTTTAGCTGAAACGGGGGTTTATTGAAAACGAAAGAATTTCGGCAAGCATCTTGAATGAAGCTAATGGCAGTTAGAGTCATTCAGCTGTGGAACAGTGACCTTGACATAATAGTGGACACCTCTCCCACCACCTCGAGACAGATGCTTGGGTTATTCCAAATGAGTCCCTTTTTATGATTTGTAAGTTGACTGGGGCAAAGAACATCAAAGTTATGCCCATTTTTAGCGATGCCAAAATGAACGTACATGTAGTGTTTCGTTTTCTTGGATTTGCAATCAGAAATTCTGAATCAAATGTACTCATGTATTCGAAAATATATACAAAATAATGGAGTGATGGCGTCACAATCAATTTGCAAATTAGCTAATTTGCATAAAAGTAAGTTCCAAAACTAGAACTTTTAATTCTCTTTAATTTAATACCAATTTCATCAAAATCGGAGCAATATTAGTAAAGTTATGCATGAGAAAACATTTTCTGCTTATTAACACCATATTTTGTGGTTACTATGGAAATTGGCATGTTAGACGCCTTCGGTCCACTTTTCAGAATTGCTTTAAGCAGATCTTAAAACTAGGAATCATGAGCTTTCTGACCGTACCAAATTCATTCATATGTTGTTACTTCAAATTACCGTACTGAAATAAATATACTCATTTTTCTAAAAATATGCAAAATAATGCAGTTATGACGTCACAATCAATATGCAAATGAGCTAATTTGCATAAATGTTATTTTCAAAAATGGAAGTTTCCATTCTCTTTAATTTGATACCAATATCATCAAAATCGGAGCAATTTCAGTAAAGTTATGCATAAAACAATTTTCTGCTTATTAACACCATATTTTTGTGGTTACCATGGAAACAGGCGTTTTAGACACATTCGGCCCACATTTAGTAATTGCTAACAAGTGGATCTCAAATCTAGGCACCACAAGCTTTCCAACGGTACCAAATTCATGAATATGTTGCAACTGTACATTACTGTACTGAAATAAATATACTCGTTTATCAAAAATACGCAAAATAATGCAGTGATGACGTCACAATCAATATGCAAATGAGCTAATTTGCATAAATGTTATTTTCAAAAATGGGACTTTTAATTCTCTTTAATTTGATACCAATTTCATTAAGATCAGAGCAATATTAGTGAAGTTATGCATAAAAACAATTTTCTGCTTATTAACACCATATTTTTGTAGTTACCATGGAAACGGGCGTTTTAGACACATTCGGCCAACATTTTGTAATTGCTAACAAGTGGATCTCAAATCTAGGCACCACAAGCTTTCCAACGGTACCAAATACGAGAATATGTTGCAACTGTACATTAAACTTTTTTTTGGACCTCCAATTCTGCCCGCCTAATATTAAACCTGCACATCACAATCTTAGGTTGTTCCGGGGTCAACTGTAAGATTTCGAGCAATAATGAAAGAATATACAATGGTGAACAAAGGGGACAAATCTGGTTAAGTACTCACGATAAATGTGTCATTATGACGATTGTTCCTTTCTATCGCTTGGATTGTCGCAGACAATTTGACTTTTAGAAGGTTTCTAAATTTTGAATATGACATCACTACTGAATTAGAATGTTTGAATTAATATGCATAAGCCATTAAATTACATCTAAGATTAATAAATACCTACTGGGTGTTAAAAAAAACGCAACCCAAAGAAATAGCTATATCTTGGAAAATACTAATCCAATTGTGTTCATATTGTTAGTTAGTTGTAAAACAGGATGTCTTGGACACATGCTCAAAAGACAGTTGAACTAGGAAAATATGAAAAACGCGAATGGAAAATCACTATATCTTGGAAAGTACTAATTCAATTATGTTCATTTTTAAGGAAAAGAAAGAAGAGACTGTGTATGTATAGCTCCTGTTGTAAGTAAGTTGTAAAACATGATGCCTTGGACACCTGCTCAAAAGACAGTTGTACAAGGAAAATACGAAAAACGCAGTCAGCGGTGACTGTCACAGCAATAAAACCAAATAACTTTCTAACCATAGTGTTTTGACACTTCAGATTTTACACAAATTATTCTCATTCAATGTGTGGTGAATTTGTGGAGTTTCATCAAAATCACTCCAGGGACTTTACAGTCATGTTCAAAATGCCTTCTTAAGTCTGCCTGAACCAGGGTGAAAGGGAAAACATTTCAACCATGACTGTAAAGTCCCTGAAGTGATTCTGATATTACTCTACACATTTACCATACAGTGAATGAAGATGATTTGTGCCAAATTTGAAGAGCCAAATCACTATGGTTAGGAAGTTATTGAGTTGTTTTGGGGTTGCAGTCACCCCTGACTGTTTTTTTTCATATTTTCCTAGTACAACTGTCTTTTGAGCAGGTGTCTAAGGCATCATGTTTTACAACTAACCATCTACAATAGCTATACATACACAGTCTCTTCTTTCTTTCCTGAAAAAATGAACATAATTGAACCAGTATTTTTCAAGATATAGAGATTTCTTTGTTGGGTTGCGTTTTTTTGAACACCCAGTAGATGGTCTAGTGTAAGAATGCACACTCACCACACAGATGACTGTTCTTCAAATCCCCGCTTGAATTTTTCAACTAAATGGTTATGCTTTGGTATACAAAGAAAAAACAGTTTTTTACCACACCAAATCTATATTAGAGCACAAGTCATCTTGTTGGTTATATGAAAATAATATATGTCCACATATTGCGATGTGCAGGTTAAAGTATCGGTAGGATGACAACAGAATTATTTGGAACTTTTTGTAGGAGAACATCCCAGAATGGGAGCTCTAGACGTGTGTCCATTCATCCCTGTGAAGAATGTTACAATGGAAGATTGCGTAAAGTGTGCCAAGATCTTTGGTTCCATGCTAGCAGAGGATCTAGGAGTACCTGGTGAGTTTTCATCTAGTCCTTGTAATCACATCTCAAGACTGTAGGGGGACAGTGTTCATTCATGTGGGTGATAAAAATCTCACAATATTATCAAAATGATTTTTCTCATTTTCTGGGTGCTAATGAGGTTTTATGAGGATCAGGCCCGTAGCCAGGATTTGCCAAGGGGGGTTCAGTTTTCAAAAATTTCCAGGAGGGGTTCACATTTGACAATTTTGGCCCAAATATGGCTAAAATCACTAGAGAAGTGCTCAAAATGGTGAAAAACTGCATGATTTTGAAAGAATTTTTGGCCAGGGGGGGGGGGGGTTCGCCCGAACCCTGCAACCCCCCCCTGGCTACCTGCCTGAGGATGCTGGTCTGTTTGATGAAATTGTATTCATATTCAAATATTCATGAATCTGTTTATGTCACCATATACCCATATGATATAATAAAAGACAGATATTGGCGAAATCGCACATTAGGTGCCAATATGAGAAATAGAATAAATAAATAAATAAGAATATACAAACTGTTTCTTTAGTATATTTGTATGGAGAGGCAGCCAGTAAGGATGAGAGGAAACTCCTGCCTAATGTCAGAGCTGGAGAATATGAAGCCTTGCAAGAAAAGGTATATAACACACAAGTATATAATATAATACAAGATCTGAATCGTGGATTTTAGACCTTTTATTTGGAGAAGTGGATGGTTTATAGTTGATTTAACATTTAGCACACAAGGCAAAGATGGAATACCATACTTAAATCCTATTTTCTTGAGTGTTTATATATGAACAAACTCACATACTTTCAGTAAACCATAATGATATCCCTTGTTATAGCTAACAAAACCAGAATGGGCGCCAGATTTTGGTCCTAGTGAGTTTATTCCTAACTGGGGTGCCACTGCTACTGGGGCTCGTAAGTTCCTGATTGCATACAATGTGAATGTATTGTCCACCAAGGAGCAGGCACACAGAATTGCTCTGAACATCAGAGAGAATGGGAGAGGTGCAGACCAGGTACTGTTGAATTCTCTTGCGAAAAATCAAACACTGTCATCAAAGTTTGCCCAAAAATTCTAACCATTTTTTTCACTACCAAATTTCCATTCTCATTATGAAACCTTCTTTTTCAAAATGTGAATTTTTTTATCAAAAATGTCCCTCCCCAGAAACCTACATCAATCTACTAAAAGAAAGTGGTTACATACTATAGATTATAGTTTGAAACGTAAAAGAGCTGTCAGCATCTCTTTGACGGACAGTTCTGGAGAATATGAGTCTCAGTATAGTCTCTATTTTAGCATTTTACATGTAAACTTAAAATCTACCAGACGTATGTATACCTGTTTATTTGTATGTCCTTGTGTTTGTAATAATTTTAGCCAGGCAGATTAAAGAATGTCCAGGGTATTGGATGGTATCTAGATGAGTCCAACATTGCTCAAGTGTCAACTAACATTACAGATTATGAGATCACCCCCATACATACTGTATATGAGGAGTGCTGTAAAGATGCTCAGGTGATTCAGTAAAGAAATTAGTTCACCCTTAATTTTTATGTCAATTGTAAATGTTCGGCTTTGTATAAAAAACCTCCTACCTCATACCCACCTACCCACCTACGTGGAACATGATACAGTCATTGAAGGGTTCAATTTTAAAGATTATTAAATCTCAAAATAGCTCAAATTATTAACATTTCTACAATTCCGGCTTTATTTTATGACTAGACAGATGACAAGTCCATAAATAAAGGCATATGGATGCATTTTAATGTGTAATAACCCGGGGGCACCCCAGAGGAATAGATAACCGAAACGACTGTGAGCATAGGTCCAACAAGCCAGATAAAGAAATTGAAAGAAAGTGTGCTAAATTCGATGCCCAGAGTGGGAATCGTACCCAGCTGGGATGTAGTAGCAACTTGCTATCAAGGGTCGTTACAAATGCATGTATAATTCATCATAAACTTTGATTTAATAAATTAAGATCTTTAAAATTGAACCCTTCAAAGACTGTATCATGTTCCACGTAGGTGGGTAGGTGGGTATGAGGTAGGAGGTTTTTTATACAAAGCCAAGATGTTCAGGTACATGTACATGTACAATGTATTATATAAGGAATTTATGTAAAAAATATGTGTTAAGATGGTATACGGATCTCAAGTTTTCATTTGCCTCGAGTAAATGAGATGATACACGTATGTCATATTTCTAATTCTGTTCACCGCTCTATTCTATTCACTATAGAATAATTATAACCACAATCAACACACTCATTGTAATCCTCCTCCATTTACAGGAGTTGAACTTGGCAGTGGTTGGATCACAGATTGTTGGTCTAGTTCCCCTACAGTGTATCCTGCAAGCTGCTGACTACTACATGACGAAAGATAATCTATTCTTACTTGAGGAGGACCAGAAAGTCAGACTGGTAAGTACCTTCCTAATGTTATTTACTAAAATATTGTGTTTCTCATCTCTGCTACGAGTTTCAGAGACTGGTAGTAGATGATTTGAATCAAACTATTGGAAAGGATATTTCTTACATGTTGCTCGTTATACACAACATTTACAATGTTCTGAAAGCAGTGATCCCTTTTCATGTTAATTGTATACTTGGGCAAAATTGGGCAAAAAGCTCCATGTACAGTTTACACCTTACCATGACATATTCATTTTTCATTCAGACATGTTTACTGTACACATGGACATGTTTACTGTTTACTTGGACATGTTTACCATATACTTGGCCATGTTTACCATAGACTTGGACATGTTTACTGTATACCTGGACATGTTTACCCTAACTGTATAGTTGGACATGTTTACTGTTCACTTGGACATGTTTACTGTACACCTGGACATGTTTACCCTAACTGTATAGTTGGACATGTTTACTGTTCACTTGGACATCTTTACTGTTCACTTGGACATGTTTACCATATACTTGGCCATGTTTACCATGTACCTGGCCATGTTTATCATAGACTTGGACATGTTTACTGTTCACTTGGACATGTTTACCATATACTTGGCCATGTTTACCATATACCTGGCCATGTGTACCATATACCTGGCCATGTTTACCATAGACTTGGACATGTTTACTGTTCACTTGGACATGTTTACTGTACATTTAGACCTATTTACTGTACACTTGGGCATGTTTACTGTACACCTGGGCATGTTTACTGTACACTGGGGCATGTTTACCATAAACTTGGCCATGTTTACCATATACCTGGCCATGTTTACCATAGACTTGGACATGTTTACTGTACACTTGGACCTATTTACTGTACACTTGGGCATGTTTACTGTACACCTGGACATGTTTACCCTAACTGTATAGTTGGACATGTTTACTGTTCACTTGGACATGTTTACTGTTCACTTGGACATGTTTATTATTCACTTGGACATATGTATTCCATACTCATATACTTTCATTGTTTATTGTACGCTTCAACATATTCATTGTTCACTCTGACATATATGTACAGTAATTATAGTATGTTGCAGGTGGTCAGTAAACTTGGCCTTGGATCTTTAGGAGGATTTAATCCCAAGGAAAGAATCATAGAGTAAGTTAACTCCTTTCTATCTTACATTTATATCACTTTCTATTCAATTCTTTAGGTAAGTGTGTATTGAATGTTGTCAAACAATTTGTTTGAATTTGGACCATATATTTTTAAATTACATTTTCAAATTACATTGACATCTGATGCTGAAATGCTTAATTGTTCAATTTAAAGATATGTGTTAAAAAGGTGAGTTAAATAAGCATACTTTGGGCTCTCATGTTTCATTGTTTGCTATAATCTTTGCTTTACATAGGGGTGAGGGGTGGTTATAAATAGGCTTTGCAAAATTTAAGCCAAATAAGAGCATATTACATTATGGTTTTTGGTATAAAAAATGGCCAGCTTAACGTCCTGTTATCACAGGCTGGTATAGCGTGCTATTTTGCATAGAAACACTAGGAAATCCACATAATTTATTTTTTACTCATATGTTTCGCTATATCAAAGAAAATTACCTTCTCCATGCAATGGATATATCATTTATGGGTAACTTTAACTTCTGATTGAAATTAAGTCCAATTAAGGACAATAAATATAAACATTTTTTTTATAAAAAAAATTGAAAATACCCAATACATCAAGATCTCATTAATACTTTCAAACTTATGCTGAAAACATATGTAAATATTATCGTGTCACTATATTGTACCATTAAAAAGAAATGGTACATTTTGGAGTATGATACTCCGGCACCATTTTCAATAGCTTTTATTCTTAGCGTTGTTGGACTTGAAACAGAAGTTAAGGTTACCCACAAATGATATATCCATTGCATGGAGTAAGTAATTTTCTTCGGTATAGCGAAACATATTAGTAAAAAAATAAATTGTGCGGGTTTCTTAGTGTTTCTATGCAAAATAGCATGCTCCGTCATAGCGGACAAAAATTTCGATACCGGCCTGTGGTTATAGTAGAGGTATTTTAATCATGGTTCAAAATATTTTATTAATTTGGTTAGTCTTCAGTTGAGATTACTGTAAAATGAGCCGGGGTCAACCCAGTTGTCCGAAACCCAGTTCTCCGAAACCCAGTTTTCCAAAACCCAGTTCTCCGAAACCCAGTTCTCCGAAAATTAGGGGATCTTATTTGAAAAATACAATTTTTTTAAACGAATCTCGTTGTCGCAACCTCTGCGAATCACAACATAACATTGGGATAACGTTGACATCATTGCAAAATTAGGCTAAATATGCTAAGTCACGACGTTAATTGTTTAATGTTTAGCCTACGAAAGTTCATATACAGGTGATATAGATGTTCAAACAAACAAAGTTAAATTATGTTATTCTCATTGTAAAATGGCGTTTACACAACATATATAGATAGGGGTCTACAATTTTTAAACCAATTTTCTTTATGGCCCATGGGCCTTTTTTGAGAGGGAACAACAATTTTCCAATGGGTGATGAGCGTTCATAAAAGGAAAAATAGCTTTCCCAAGCCAGTGGGCATTTATTTAGTAAAGTTGACATGTACATCTTTTGAAACCAAAACTTATTCTTCATTTACGTACTCTGTTCGAGAAATAGAGATTAAATTAAAAGGATGAAGTGAGTACATGGCGAAAATGAAACTTCTTGCGAATGGGAGAACATCCATTTTGATACGAGGACAGCCTGCCTTCGTTTCCAGTTGATCCCAAGTGATTAAGTTAAGAATGTTTTGTTCTTTTACGATTTGATAAAATACAGAGACTAAGAAATTAAATACGACGAAATATTTTGACAACGTAATATGTATACTGTTTTATTCTTAAAGTACTAGTCTATATGCGTAAACTTATTTTATCTGTTTAAAATTGATTCATTTTATTTTGCCTATATAAGAGAAATTGAAGAAGATAAGATAAACTGTTCCGTAATATATATTGTGTTTTGATAACCTTTTTTTAGAATCACAATGTAAAATAAATCCCCCGTTCCTGCCATTCTGGTAACGCGTGCAATGGATGCAATTCAAAGTGAGAGAGAGAGAGATCTATGAACATCAGAATGCGTCCATGCCATTAATTTGGCCAAATACATGGCATGAAACTGGCCTAAGCTTAGTACGTCTCCCCTTTCTCTGGTAAATTATGACTATATTTTTCGGAGTAATGGGTTTCGGACAAGTGGGTTTCGGACAAGTGGGTTTCGGAGAACTGGGTTTCGGACAACTGGGTTTCGGAGAACTGGGTTTCGGACAACTGGGGTGCACCCAAATGAGCCTGTACATGTATTTCTATATGATGGCTCACAGATAAGCCACATGTATTTACAATGTTCTATAGAGCACTGGCCCCAGCAGGATTTTGTGTTTGCAGAGCACGGATGGAATTTGCCCTTGCCTCTCAGAATCAACTATTTTTGCCAATCTCTGTGGAAGTTTCTGCAGAATAGATATATTTTCAAAAGGTTCTATTTGGTCAGTGTACCTGTAACAATTTGACACATTTTTAGTCAAATCCAAAATTGACCAAATTATGGGAATTGAAACTTCATCGTTTGTCGCAAGATGGCAGCATGTATTGAGTAGTGACGTAGTGACTGACTGCGTAACTATCACGATATTTTCTAGTTTTTTATATCTATTATGATATTTTCCGCAGAATTTCATCAGAATTAGCGTTTTCCCCTTGCAGAATTCACTAATTTCACTTGCAGATTAAGCATTTTAACTCACAGAAAACTGGGGGGAGTGATAGAGGGTATATACAGATTACATTGGGAATTTGGGACCCAGAGCGATAAATATTTGCACTGAATGCCTGTCATATAGTTCCTATTCAACTTGTTCTTATTTTGACAGTTTTTATTCATAATTTACACAAATGTTTTGAAATGTTTGTAATTGATCTCAAAAGTGGTGACATATGGGTCTCAAACTTTTTGTAGAGAGTGTTTGGCTGTTGGTGTTTGGGAGCTAGTTCTCAGCATTTGGTGGTTTATGTTTGGTATTTTGCAGTCAGCATTTGTAACAAATGGCAGGTGGTAACATATAGTAGGAAAATAGAAAAGCCATCCATCTATTTCTCTTGGTCTGTCCTGGTGATAACTCATATAAAGGTTGACAGATTTGATTGCATCTTCTAGTCCTATTTGCGAATGATTATTGATTTGTTTTATTGTCCTATATAATAAGTTTGTCAATGTCTGTTACAAGTAGGTCATGATGACCTATGTATATTTTATAAAGAATATTTTATGAATGCATTGAGGATTGTTACAAAACTCTAATTCTGATTCTGAGAACAATTCTGAAGATCATCAACTTCAATCAAACTAAAAATAACTTTTACTCCTTCACATTGTTCAGGATTTTGATTGACAGCTCTATATTTGGAACATGAAATTGATGGCCTGTGTTAAAACTCCAAGGTCAAGCTGATCTGGTCACTCTCTAAGGCAATTTAAAAACTGATTTTTCATAGAAATTGATCAGTTCTGTATTCATATTTCTCAGTAAATACATGTTTATAGAAAAATTTACCTTCCAAACTATTTTTATCTATCTTATATCTGTTTAAGTAAAAGGTTTTAATCATAATTATTTTTGTCTTTAAAATGCTTTTTGTAGAGTTTTATAGTCCTGTTTTGTCAAAGAATTTCTTTGGAAAGAACATTTTCACCATCTTCACAAGTTCAGCATTTCATTTTATTTTTGTTTGTTTGATGAATAATCAGTTATACTTGCTGAGGATGGCATTGTTTCAATGTTTATGTAATATAATGATGCACTTTTGATGAAATAATATGACAAAATGACATTATATCACCAGTTCAAGCTTCTCTTGCCTCTTTTAAAATGTTTGAATCTCATTTTAAAGATTTCAATGATTTTTAAATGATTTTGGCCTGAAGCATAATTTATTAGATTTCACATGAACAAAAACTGGGGGGGGGGTAACATTTGATAGCCTAACTCAAATACCAGTTAGCCCTCTACACTGTCTAAAAACAAGTAAATGATTTGCAAAGCCTGTTTTTAGATATATGTTGGATGATGAGACAACGGGACCTCTGGCAAGCCTTGGGGTGAGGGACTTTGTGATGACTGTAGGGGCCAGGTCTCCCTCTCCAGGGGGTGGCTCAGTGTCTGCCCTAATTGCCGCATTGGTAATGATAATATTTAACACATTTAATTAGAATAAGCACAACATTGTACAAAACATTTAGCTTTGATAATATATATCCCCTGTATAGCTTAGAGAACAGTGAACTTGTTTCTGCTTCACATTATTATCAAAAAGCCCATTTTCAGCAACCTTTCGTGAGATAGATACTCCACATGTACTTGTCATTCTCATATTTTTTGTTTTGCACTGAATTAAAAACAAAAGTACACTTAACATGATTTTCACCCAGCACTTTAATCAAAATGTACAAATCCCCTCACCAACTACGCAAAAATACACAAGATTATGCCTTAGAATCTGCAACTTGTCTCTACCTTCTCCAGGGGACATCTTTAGGCACAATGGTGGGTTTTCTGACCTATGGAAAGAAGCAGTTTGCAGCCCTAGACAGCAAGATGCGGGAACTCCTCCCACCTTTGTACCAGACAACCAAAGATCTCATTCCAAAGATAGATGACGATGCTGCTGCATTCAATAAATATATGGTTAGAGGCTTGCTTATTTACTGCCTGGGAAATATATTTTCATAAGAGATTTTCTGCATATTGTATTCTTTTCATTTAGGAATACTACCTACAATATTATACCTTTCATCCTTGGCCAAAATACATGTAGATTGAAATAATTTTCAAAATATGATATAATTAAGTTGGCATTTGTCAAATCCTTGTATTGAATTTTTATCTTTTTAAAATACACAAACTGCCATTTTCAGGCTGCTTTGAAGTTGCCTAAAACCTCAGACGAAGAAAAGAAATTGTAAGTTTCACTTGTTTTTTCTGATATCCTATATATTGCCTGATTTGTAATGAAAACAATTAGCAGTGTTTTCAAATCTTTGTTGGTCAATTTGTAAAATTATTACAATTTGAGTAATTTCTGTAATTTAGAGCTATAGTACTGTATTTAATTCAGGCACGTAGCCAGGGGGTTTCGCAGGGTTCGGGCGAACCCCCCCTGGCCAAAAATTCTTTCAAAATCATGCAGTTTTACACCACATTTTGATTTTGATTTTCAAGTGATTTTAGCCATATTTGGGCCAAAATTGTCAAATGTGAACCCCCCCTGGAAATTTTTGAAAACTGAACCCCCCTTGGCAAATCCTGGCTACGGGCCTGTAATTGTTGGTTTACTGGCCAATATGTATTAATGTGTGATACTATAGTATTCTTCAAAAAGATTGCTTTCTTCAAAAGAACAAAATGTTTACACTCTCTTCATATTGCTTCAGACAAGAGGCTGCAATACAGGAGGGTATACAGACTGCTATTGCAGTACCTATGTCCACAGCCACTTCTGCCAATGACATATGGCCAGCTATGATAGAGATGGCAAAAGTTGGAAACATTAACTGTAAATCAGATCTCCAGGTAATAATGAATATTTTGCTTTAAAGTTTTCAGAAATCTGTGTTTTAATCGTCCGTAAGTTTAATATTTTTGAAAATCAAAATTTTGTTTCTCCATGGAACTTGATAGATATTTAAGTCATTCATCTGTGTACTATTGATTTAATACTTACGTATGTTACAGTTAATAAATATACTCCATATACCATGTTATTAGGTTGGGGCCCGTTGTGTAGAGACTGGAGTGTGGGGGGCTTATTACAATGTCATGACTAATATAGCAGATCTCTCTGACCAGGAATACAAAACAAGGGTAAAATACTTCATTATATTCTACAACTCCACCATTATGTCACCTCCAAAAGTGGTGAGATTACATATTGTTATAATCTCCAACCTTTTTGTGGACAGTGTTCGGGGTCTGTAACAAATGGCAGTCAGCATCTGTAACAAATGGCAGGTGGTGACACTTTGCATGTTAATGCTGTCTCATGCTTAATACAACTTTCAAACCACTTCGTACTGTATATCAATGGGTTGAATAGATTGTTTAATTTTAATGCTTATTTTCCAGGTTGAAACTGAGATTAATGCTGAACTGAAGAAAGCACAAGAGGGTTGTGCTGAGGTTCTGAAAATATTAGCAGAAAGAAAGTAGTCCCCTAAGAAATAGTTCCATTGGCAGAAAAAGTCAAGTAGAATGCACTTTTGAGTGAAGTCACTCAATGTGAAAATGGAAGGAATTTGGTTTGATGATTGTGTCATTTACTTATATGACATTTAATTCTTAGTCTAGAAGATGTACTGCAGCTTGAATATTATTTCACATGTGTTGTGTTTGAAAAGTAGATGCCACAGAAAAAGTTTCATTTACATATGTATTCTTCATTTACGCAATTATTCTGTGTGATTTTAAAATAATCGAGGAACGAAGAGAGGAAGATAAGGTGTGTATGAAAAATTTGATTATTTTTCTTGTGAAGCAGTATTATAGTATGCATGTCCAGTATTTTACTTACACAAGTATAACCATTAGTAAAGGTATTGTTATTATACCATGTTTTCCATTATATATACAAAATTAGGTTTAATTTGGGGCACTACACAGAATTGTTAGTGACAAAAATAATCAAGAAGTCATACATAATTGAAGTAATGTATAGTTATATAATTATATTAAACACTTATATGAATATATACATTAATACATATACAGAAACAGTTGGCATAGTACAAGGAATCCAGTAAGTTATGATACTGAGGTTCTCTATTTGTCAACCCAAATTTTGCAGATATTATTGGAAATGTTGTAAAAGCTACAATAAATGAACTTTGAACCACTTTTAGTAATGCCATATGTATATTTTGAATAAACTGCTCTTAGATGATTTTTAGAAATATTTACAACAACGACTATATGTACATATATTTTTTTACACCTCAGCCTTTGTACAATTATAGGGTCCATATAATGAAAAGCTGATAGATTCATAATCTACCATATCATGTACAAAACACAACTTGTATTCTAGAAGGTCGCATTGATCTAGCCTTGCCTAAGTCGGTCTCTTTTACTTATCTTGATTTCTATTATGACCGCCGGTAATAATTCAAGATCAGATAAGTAAAAAAAATACCGACTTGGGCAAGGCTAGCATTGATCTGGTGTGGCCTGATATGTATGAACACTGAAAAGTGTAAGCCAGACACACGATGTATGCATGTATTAAATTTTAAAAGTCAAACCAACTTTATGGACAGGCCAATTAGTCTCAGTAGGTTGCAGAGTAGAACTTTAAAGTTGAAACATTCCAAATAATAGAAACCAGCATTGTAATGATGTATTATGATTATGTAATGAAGATATTAATTTATTCTTGAACCTATATAATATTAAGCGATAACATAAAAAGCATATGTAATTAAATGTTGCCTTGTAATTGTTGGTGATTTTACACTTGTTAGATATATTATTTTATAGATTTATTATTATGTCAAGCTTTATCTTTGACAGCTTGAAAATAATTGCCATATTTTTTTGTTTATTGAATGCAATGTTGTTATTTTTACAAATTGGTATGTGTTTGTTTGCTTGATACATGAGAATAGTATTATTTAAAGAATATTCTGTACAGTTTTGAACATTCACATTTTGCATATTTTGATACAGTATTTTATACTTTATTGAGAACTATTTTAAAGCAAAATAATTTTGATTGACATTGTAAAGTTTTTAAGCTTGGTATGGTCAGTAACAAATGTGAATGTAAAGCATTACAGTGGGGGACATAAAGAATTACAAAAGCTATGGAAATTACATGCTGTTCCACATGTAATAAATTCTTACCTCAGTGTATTCAGTGCTCTATTTTCTCCATCCTAGTAAGTCCAGATATAGTGGGATTTGTGTCCATAATGACAAATAAAAACTTAAAAATTTGAAGTGGACATTCACATGTTAATGCCAACTCTTCAAATGTTGAGGTGATTTTGGAGCCCGATTACGTCGCCAATGTGGATTGGCTCCCAGAATGCAACATGACACGTGTCAGCTTTCAAAATGCTGTTCCGCCATTTTGAAATCTGTCACGAGTAAATAAGGTTACCTGATGTTGCATTCTGGGAGTCAATCCTCTTTGGATCACAAACATGGCGATTCACGAAAACATTCATTCGATGTGGTAGGGATTTATCCATCATTTGCAGGTATGAAGCTTTGGATTCATTTATTGTGCTACTTAAAGTGAATGGGAATTATTTTTCTACAGCTTGGGAGAGTTTGAGACATGAAATTTAGAATTTAGCTCATTGTGACAACTTTTGAGGGTTGAGTTTTATTTTTTGTCCCAACTGTATTTTACGGTAAGATGGTTCCCTAAGTGTTCACATTTGGGATTCTCACTTTTAAGGTGTTGACATTACACAGGTTATAGTGGGGTGCCTGTAATGCAAGGATATTACAGCCATGCATGTTCACTTTAGAATGGTTTTCATATGTGTACATGTACATGTATATCAATTAGTATGTGCCAAATATACGCAAAATTCAATAAATTGTTTACTTCAGTATTAAATCTGAATTTGCTTCAGTATTCGCTTGCCATTATCTTTATTTTCTGAAATGTCTGATTTTCACCAAGAATTCCCAAATAGATTATGGGTGAAGATCAGATGTTATCAAGTAATTGTTATAGATGAGCATTATGTTAATAAATGTTTAATGCTATATTGCATACACAGATAGTTATGTGAATCTTTTAAACCTGAATTGTGTTTTTACCCCAAGAATGAAACATTGAGACTTAGCATGAGATAATAGCCTAAATATATGGCTTTCAGAATTGATCTCCAAATACATCTTGTACTGATGTCCTTGACCTGTTAATGGAACCATTGACCTTTCATTACATTCATATTTATGTTGAGAAGAGCTTACATGAGACGTTCTATGGAAGAACAAGGATGGTATACCCATAAATGGATATGAAGGAGTACATTGCAGGCAATATAAATTCTCAAAAATATGTGCAGAGCAAAAATATTTTTCACTTCCACTCTCCAGATGAAAAGATGAGCAGAACCCCCATTGTTGTATGGCTGTATTTGACATTATAGTTCATTAGAAAGATGCATTTTTGTTCTGCCCCATTGGATCTTATTGTTATGTCACAACCAGGAAGTGGTGACATAGTTATGGTCTCTAAATTTTTTGTGGAAGGTGTCCAGCAGTTGGTGTTTGATGGTTGGCATCTGTAGCAAATGGTAGGTGATGACATTTTGCAAATTAAATGCCTTACCTAAAAGTGTACACATGCCGTTAGTACATGTAGTTTGTTAATCTGAGTTTCAAGCTATTATGACGTTCTGTCTTGATAGCTCCATGGAATCTTCATCAAAATACAAATAATATATGATAGTGCGATTCGACACTTTTATTTAAAAATAATCAAAACAATGTAGAAAGAACAATTACATGTCTTGCTTTAGCCATGGATTAAAATGTTTCACCTTCACTAAATGAAACTTTAATCTGTGTTAAAACAAGGGTATATTTTTCTTAAACTTTTTAGAAAGCATTTAATGTATACACAATAATGTATGCACAAATACTTTTTAATAGGCTACATATACAGTGATATAGTTCTTCACCGAGATTTCATACATAAAAATCAATTTGAGCAGAGACATATAAAACATGTAAAAAAAAATGTTTTATACGTCTCTGATTTGAGCAATTCAATAATTGAATTCATAATATGTTTAAGTCTTCATCTCGTATTAAAAGAGGATTTCTAATTAAAAGCAGACCTCATTTAATCAATAAAATAAAAAGCAAGCTCTCAAATAAAATAGAAGGGATAGATAATGAAAAATGTTAGCAACAATATCTTAACAAAAACCTTGTCAATGTTTCTTAGAAAAATCCTCATTTTATTATCTGATATATGAGATTTCAAACGCAAAAATATCCAGATTGATTAAAATTGGAAGAGAGTACATCCCCTTTTTATTTTGAGAGATAACCCAAAAAATTAAAGGATTACTCTGAAATAAATTCAGAACTGTAACTTTTCAGAAAAAGAAAAATGCAAAACTGACAATTTTTCTACTTTAACTCTTCTCTATGCTTTCTGGTCCCTTTAAAGGACCTGAATCAGGTTTCTCTCATCTGCTACTATTATTGAGAAACATATCAAACCTTTAACATTTTTTTACATAATGTAAAACTCATTAAATTGGGGTGTATAAAATAAATGAGTTCATAATAAAGATAACATCAGCAAGCATATTCAGCATATAGGTTGAAAATGTATATAGGTAACTTCCTGAATGTACATATGTATAAAATATAAGAGCGAAAACTAGTCAAATTGCAACTATCTTAATTTGTTGCCATGGTAACTAATACTCAAAATATAATAGAACTTTATGTAACTCAATATACTGCTAATAAAGGTATGGTGTTATTATGCCAAATCTGTCAATTATGTACAGTCTAATACATAACTTTGACAAATGTTTCCCTTTCAACGTATATATTTCATTCAAAAACGATCCACATCTCAATAAAGCTGCACACTAGATTGGGTATTTAAAAATCCTTAATATCAGATCCATGGTCTCTATTAAACTTGCATTACTCATGTCAAATATACAAATCTAGTAACATAATAGAGGTTCACCGCATAATCATATCTGTTCTTCACTGTCATGATGTCATATCTCCGCCATCATAGGTTTACTCTAAAGTCAACTCCATTTAGGAATTCGATTTATATTATATTCATATTTAGAGGTCTTTTTTCTCTTCAGTGCTGCTAGTTGGAAAGCCATTCTCACTATTGTCATCAGATTTAGTCTGTTGTTGTTGCCACATGTCTGCATAGAGTCCACCTTGCATTAACAGGTCTTCATGTCTGGAATAGAACAATAGATGAACATTGATTTGACAAATTAATGGCTTGTAAAACACTTCAAAATAAATATTTTCTGTATTTTACTCATAGTGACAAGGTGAGGTTGGAAAAATTAGAATCTTGGAGATCAAGGTGAGTTTGGTAGGGTTTATATTAGAGACATTAGTCAATGAGAAGGGAAGTTGCTTATCAATGAGCTCAGGTATGTCCCGTCAATATTAGAAACCCTGATTGGCATGTTTGGCTAAAAAACATCTGATAACTAGAAAAACAGCAACTCCACGGAGTAGCAGATTCCACCAAACAAAACATGTTTTGATAAATAGCGGCCATATAAAATTTGAGACAATCCATTTTGGAATTCAGTGGCCATCTTGAAAATGTCTTCTTGAGCAGAACTTCTTTATCTCTAGGCATCAGCATATAGAATTTGAACCAAATCCGTCAACTGGTATTTGAGTTATCAATGGTGGCCATTTTTGAATTAAGCTGCCATCTTGAAAGTCCCTTCTTGAGCAGAGCTCCTATATCCCTAGGCATCAGAATGTAAATTTTGAACCAAATCCATTCAATGGTATTTGAGTTATCAAAGATAACGTTTTATTACGAAAAATGAACATCTTGAAAATGTCTTCTTGAGCAAAGCTCCTTTGTACCCAGACAACAGCATATAAAATTTGAACCAAATCCATCCACTGGTATTTGAATTATCAAAGATAATATTTTTTCCGAAAAATGGCCGCCATTTTTAATTAAGTGGCCATATTCAAAATTCCTTCTCGAGCAGAGGTCCTACACCCATAAGGCATAAGTCTATAAAATTTGAATGAAATCCGTCAACCGGTATTTGATTTATTGCCCGGACACACGAACGGACGGACGAACGAATGGACGGACGAACGGACGGCTTTTCTATATCCCCCTCGATCTTTGTTCGGTGGGATAACTAGAGGTATAAACAAGGCCTTAACATGACACCAAAGCCTTAACATGACACTTCTCGGTTCCAATTATAAAGTGTAACCATTTGTTAAACCGATTAGAAAATGCTAGTCACATAAAACAATGATCAAATTATGCAGCTCTACAGAATATGCAAACTGTCCATACCTTCCACGTTCTCTGATTTCTCCATCTTTCAAGACCAATATCTGATCAGCATTTATGATGGTTGACAGTCTATGAGCCACAACTATAGTTGTTCTGTTCTCACACACTTTGGCCAGGGAGGCCTGGATGTTTCTTTCTGTTTGAGTGTCTAATGCTGAAGTTGCCTGCAGTTTAGTAAAGCATGAAGTATTACTCTATATGTGTAATTGAAATTGACCAAATGAAAAATAGGCAATATGGTTGAAATTACCCAATCCTTGAAGTTTTCAAAATTTTGAAATTTTTCAAAATGTTCATTTGTATGAATAAAATGTCTCTTTTGATTTTTTTAAATTATTAAATCTATTTTTTTTCTTTTTTGATCTAGAATTTCATACCAGTCATGTCAGAGAAACTCACCTCATCCAGCAATACAAAGGCAGGTGCTTTTAATAGGGTCCTAGCTATAGCAACACGCTGCTTCTCACCCCCACTCAACTTCAACCCTCTCTCTCCCACCACTGTATTATAACCCTCAGGGAACGTTAGGATTTTATCATGAATATCGGCAGCCGCTGCCGAGTCTTCAACTGCATCGTCTGAGGCTGTCACTTTTCCATAGCGGATATTGTATCTACAATTGGAAAAAGTAATCATTATTGTGAAGCCTGTCCGATAAAACACCTATCTATACGTAATTAGCACCTCTAATGGAACAGTTTTTAATAGAACAATAAACCTCCTCTGTAAAGAACGTAATTCTACAAGAAACAATATAGCAAGTGACTATTCCATATACCAGGTACAGACAGTTTACTGTACTATTTAATTGTATGTTTCTTTAGCACAATTATGAAAGAATATAAACACATTTGTCAAAATCTCTTTACTCAAATTCATCAGGCACAAATATGTCAAAACTCAAAATATGCTAATTGTTCATCATTTTGACATGATGTAAACAAATTATTACAAAGTGGCATGTACTTTCCAAATTACAATAGGTGAAGCATCCAGTTGCTTTAATGCTGGGAAGATAACTGGGATGTATATTGTAAACAAGGATTGGGATCATAAACTTGATCAAGAAACTAATTCATGTACATAAAAATGTAAAAATTGGTAAATGAAAATGCCATTTATTTGAATACCATAAAGTTCTAATAATTACAAATTTCCAACTGAATAAATTTCATGACATAAGACTGAGTGAGGCAGATGCAGAAACAGGGTGGATAGTAAATCAAGAATACAAACCTTATATCAGAGTTGAAAAGAACAGTGTCTTGTGGAACAACACCAATATTTTGCCTCAGGGAGTTCTGCTGTATAGTAGAGATATCTTGACCATCAAATTTGATACTCCCAGACTGGATGTCATAGAAACGGAACAATAACCGGATGATTGTGCTCTTCCCACTGCCTGATGGACCAACCTTAACATTAAAGCAATACTGATATTTAAATCAAGTAAAACAATTTATGAAAATAATCAACATCTCAGATCGCAGTGTAAGGAATGCCTTAATGAATAAGGAATGTCTTAAATGACACATATTATGTAGATTGTTTGAAATTGTTAGAAATGAAGTTGCACTGCAATATAAATACAAACACACTTGTTGTTGACATATCGGATGGTAATTGTTATTTTAAAATTGTTAAAATCAATTAAATGCAGGAAAGAGTAATAAGTGTTGAACAAAGTGATATATGTACATGTACCTCTAGAAGTTTGTTGAATATTTTCCTAAACATTACTGTTAAAGTGGTAATTTTGCCTGATCATTTAATTTGCCTATTGCCTAATGTTTGCCAGATTCTGAAAATCAAATGTTGGAAATATTATCTTCATAATGTTATCCTAGAATTGTCTATGGTTCTAGCCAGGATAAAGATACCAGTTTTTCAACTCGACAATGGGAAGAACTGCTCTACCTTAGTGACTAATATGTCATGATATGACATCTAAAGAGTCAATAAAAGATATAAATATATATCCAATCGGAAGATTCTTGTCATCAGGAAAATTAAAATTAGAAAAATGATAAAATTTATTTGACCATTCAGCAAATGAACCACTCGGATTAAATATCACTTATTTCATATACAAAAGTAAGTACATGTACTTCTGCACTTGTGTTCAACAATTATAATGGTACTAAATTTAAAACTTGGTACTAAATCTAAATATAATTATGTACTCACCAAAGCAAATGTTTGTCCAGGTGGAACTACAAATGTGATATTCTTCAGGATCTGTTTTCTGAAAATATTTAATAACCAAGAACATGTACACAATCAAGAATGCCAAGAATCTAATAATTTTCATTGCATTCATTTTCTGCCTTTGCTAAATAAACCAGGTAATACTGACATAATTCATGATGTTGTAGGTTATTTAAAGGGTACATGTAATGATATTTCCAAATAAAAATAGTGCCATGATTTACTGGAATGGTAAAGGAGAAAGTCAAGAACAGGTAAATCTTTATCTATTGTTCAAAATCTGCATTATTAACTAATAATTAATAGTGGTAGAACTAATGTACATGTAATGCAAATTGTCACCACCAGCCATTTGTTACAGATGCCAAATGCCAGCCACCAAACACCAACTGACACCACAAAAAAACAATCCTTATATAACAATCCTTATATAACAATCCTTATGTAATATTGCTACTTACTCTGGTTGATAATGGAAGCAAACATCATTGAACTCAATCATGCCTTTGGTGACTACTAGAGGTTTTGCATCTGGAGCATCTTTCACTTCAAGAGGCTCATCAAATAAATCAAACATGTTCTCCATGTCAATGAAGCACTGCTGGATCATTCTGAAATGCAAAGGCAGTAATATCTGGAGCCACAACAAACACTTACTGCAAGCAAGTGTTAACTAGAGTTTCTTTATACACATGTACGTCTTAATGGCGCATATGAGAAATGATGTTCACTATGGACCGATTAAAAATCACTACTTGGGTTTTTATGAAAATTTAGTATTAAATGGATTTAATTTATCTGATTATAGAGTAATTTAATTTAATTTAATGAGTCAGCAAAAAAAAATTTCATTTATCGATTTTGTATACTTATACTATCATATTAAGATCAAAATATTTCCAATGAATTGTAACACATCGAAAAATTTCCTTACAAAGTCACCCTTCAAATCAACATGTTATACAAAGGATGTACATATTAAGTGTATGCTTTTATACCTTTTCGAATTAGTGTTCCAAGATGATATTTATTAAGATTTGTCCAAAAAATTGTCCCAAAATAACCCCAATAGAACATAAGCAATTGGATATAAATGAAAGTTTGCAAGACATTTGTGGACATTTTTCATTGATGTAGAAAGAATAAAACAGATCGAGCCATAAAAAAAATATGACGTTCCCCTGGATTTGAACCTCATGCTTTTCTCTTGCATTATTAATGCACACACATTTTTAACATTCCCATTTGAAATCAGTGGATTTCAGCTCGACTTATGATGGTCAAATATAAAAGAAACAACATGGAAAAGCTGGATTGCATCAGTGGAAAGTTTCCGTTTGGATTCCCATTAGATTACGATGTATGATATTTCTGACATTTAATTTTCTGAACATGGCAAAAATTAGGCAATAGACAAATTAAATGATAAGTCAAAATTACCACTTATACAGTAAGCTTTAAAAGTTGTGTTCAATGGAAGTACAAAATCTGTCTACACTCCAGATTTTAACTATCTAACTAAAAATTGCAAAATCATCTTTTAAAGATCACAAGGTAGTAGTGCTCACTAAGTAAGATTTGGGTGCTTCATTTAGGGAATATGAAATAAAGTAGAAAGAAAAATGACATAGCTCTGGATTTGAACCCACACCAGCATTTTCCATTACCAACATGAAAGCAAAAATGAATACAGATTTTAACTAATTCTGTCTGAAATCAACAGAATTCAAATCAACAAATGATGGTCAAAGAAACAACATGAAAAAGCTGGATTGCATCAGTGGAGAGTTACGGTTGGAATCGAACCAACATGAATTTATTTCGAGTAAATTATCTTGACCATTAGATTACGAAGTATCCACACGATAAAGCCAACCAGGAATATTTTGCTTGAAAATTATCCTTTATACCTGTACTAAGAGGAGGTACTTTCCCATAATTCATGACTGATCCTCATTAATTGTGTTATGGTAAAAAAATTTAAATTGTATAAAAATTCAATATGATGAGTTCAAAATAATAGGGAAGATACGAGGTTGTGAATATTTATCCTTTGAAAAATAAAAGTAAACATGAAATATATTGAAAGATGTCATAAGGAACTGTGGGATTGATAAACCTTATTCGCTTTACTAGTACCTTGGTTGTTGTATTGATCAAATAATCAATATTTGTATATCATACATTATGTGTTCATAGGGCACTTCTAGTTTAAGTCTCGACACAATACAGTGCATAGACTTTTATTTCTTTTACAGTTTATTGGATTATTTTAAGAATTATTGAACATTTTATTTTATTTATCATGCCTATTCATCAATAATGAGTTATATGCGTATAAACAACATCAATTGATCAACTAGACAAACCAATCAGCTTATCTCATATGGTCATGTGACCTATATGAATCAGCATAGATTTCATCATATAGAACTAACTTTATATATTTATTTCTGTCAACTGAATCTCCAGGCTGGCAAAGCATAGTGGATACTTCGTAATCTAATGTTAAGATATTTCTCTGCCACAGAAACTTTGTGGGTTCAAATCCCACCGAGCTCTTCCACTAGCGCAATCCAGCTTTTTACCTCTACACAATCTCCCCAGGTTGATTATATGCCTATTTTTGCCAAAACTGAACAATTACGTGATTTCTGTTATTCTGTCATAACTGTTATATTCAACCTTGGTTCAATTCCCACAAGTGTCTCACATGTTTCTTTTAATCTTATATTTTTTTTTAATTATCTTACACGAATCATTGAATGTTACTTTTTGAGAACACAGTCATATTTCATTCACATATTTTCTGAATTTCCATAAACCATGGGCTCTACAAAGTCCACATATAAACCAATTATTCGGATGAAACATTAATACAATGCATAAAAAAAAACTTTTTTTACATACACGACTAGATACATATATGGTCAATAGGAGCCTATAATGCCTATATTTTACTTCAAGGGTCAAACAAGCTCAGAAATAAATGACCAACATTTCTATGAGAAAGGGTCCCAGTGACATAATTTTAAAATAAACAACCCTCAAGAAATCAAATCAAATCTCTATACATACCTGTAATATGTTCCAAACCAGTTGAGAGGTCCATAGAGTTGTATAAGGTATGAAGCAAAGAGGACATAGTCTCCTACTGTCAGGCCCCCATAGCCTTTGTATACGTACCATGCACACAGTAGGGACCCTGCCAGGAGACCGGAAGTGATGATAATGTTCTGTATGGTATTGAGCAAGTTCAAGGTGGAGGTAGACACCCATTCTGATTGCTACAGGGCAGGAGAAAAGAAGGCTTTAATCTAAGAGAGACATAATCAAGCCTGTGTTGAGACAAAATTCAGGCTGAGGTGACTATCACAGTTGCCTCAGCACAGGCATGGGCCTGATATTCTGTGGTGTCATAAAGGTATAGTGTAATGTTCCATCTCATATGTTAAAGATGCATTCAGACAAAGGAGAGCACAATCAAGACCACGAATGTCAGCTCTTTCGAATTGTGTTTGCTGATGTTCAAGTTGTCTTGAGTATTTACAAGAATTATTGAACATACTATGCACTTAAAATAGTCCAAGGAGATATAAGATATAACCATAAAAACCTATTAAATAACAAGAACACAAATGTGTACAATATGTCCCCACCTATGGGTAATCCTGTCAAATGATTATCCTAAAAATGAGTAGACAAGACTTTACCGACACAATTTAAGGACGGAGAATCCAAAATGGCCATCTTAAAATTTACCAAGAATGACAAAAAATTAGTCAGTTCTAGATTTTCATACTAAGAACCACCCCTGAAAATTTGAAATTGATCCCTCACACAGTTAACCAGAAAACATGTAAACAAGACGTTACAGACAAGATTTGAGGACAGAAAATCCAAAATGGCTGCCTTGACATTTATCCAGAATGCCAAAAACTAATCTGTTCTAGATTTTCATACTAAGAATCATCCCTGAAAATTTAAAATTGATATACCAAACAGTTCACCTGGAAATGCGTAGACAAGACTTTACAGACAAGATTTCAGGACAGAAAATCCAAAATGGCTGCCTTGACATTTACCCAGAATGCCCAAAAACTAATCAGTTCTAGTTTTTCATACTAAGAATCATCCCTGAAAATTTGAAATTGATCTACCAAATGGTTCACCTAAAAACGCGTAGACAAGACTTTACGGGCAAGATTTTAAGACGGAAAATCCAAAATGGCTGCCTTGACATTTATCCAGAATGCCGTAAAAATTATCAGATCTAGATTTTCATACTGAGAATCATCCCTGAAAATTTGAAATTGATCTACCAAACGGTTCACCTGAAAATGCGTAGACAAGACTTTACAGACAAGATTTTAGGACGGGAAATCCAAAATGGCTGCCTTGACATTTACCCAGAATGCCCAAAAACTAATCAGATCTAGATTCTCATACTAAGAATCATCCCTGAAAATTTGAAATTGATCTACCAAACGGTTCACCTGAAAACGCGTAGACAAGACTTTACAGACAAGATTTTAGGACGGAAAAATCCAAAATGGCCGACAATAAAAAAGTGATTATGAGTTTTTGCTGAAATCTTTTTACAAAATTATCACATATACCTACTGTTAACAATAACATAAGCTTTTACAACAAAGTACACCTGAAATTATTTATAAAGCTACTAAAAAGTTAAAGCATGAAAACTGAAAAACACCATTCAATATGATAGAAAGTATTATCGTGTGCTAACTTTTCTTAAAACATTCAAAATGGCTGACATGACTGAGCTAACAGGTCCAAAACCTAATCAGATCTAGAATGAAGTGAGCTGAACAAGATGTTAAAGTTTTAAAAGCAACTGTGAAGCCGTTTTTCTTAAACTTTGCAGACAAGGATTTTAGCATTTGACTTCAAAATGGCCGACAGGAAGTAGGTATCGAGTTAATTTTTTTTCATCCACATCTGTATGCACTCATAAATTATCCCTGAAAATTTGAAGGTGATATCTGCAGCGGTTTTGGAGAAAACTCCCAGACGTACGGACAGACAGACGGACAGACAGACAGACAGACGGACGGACAGACAGACGGACAGACGGACGCGCCTAGGCCGACAATATGGCCCCACACTATGTGGTGGGGACATAATAAATAATAAAAGGGGGTGTCAACGATTGTCCAGAGAGTGTTCCTATGTCCACCAGCATCTTTAAGCAAGAAATTCTGCAGGGAACTAATTTTATTCGTATAGTCCAGCATAGAAGCCATAAGTATTCAGTCAAGCTTGTAACTGAGCTGAGCTGACTTATTTAAAACAAGCTCACATATGAGCACTGTTCCAAGCTTGTATACAGGACTATAAGAAAAGGCTGATTCATTTGTAAAAAATATGCTCTATTTTTCAGAAAACATTCAAAAAGCATCATGCTCTGTCAGCAATAGTTGGTGCAGCATGATTTAGTTAAAACTTTTGAGACAAAGCTTAATGATATAAGTTTAAAGCAAGATACAAGACAAGCACAAAGGGACTAGCTTAATTAAATTCAATTATTTGTTATGATAACTGAATTTGTTAGCATGCACATTAGTAAACAGAATATTAGCTAAGGGTTAATACAAAACAATATGTCAAGAAACAAACAACTACAAAATGGCAACATCACTGAGAAATAATTCACAATGAACAAAATTTGTTTTCCCATTTAGTTTACCATAATCTAGTATCTGAGTTTCTTCAAGGAGAGACAGATGGATGGAAGGACAGACTGATGGACAGATGGAGGGTTTCATTATATCACTAGAGAGAGGAACTCCAAATCAAATCTATCAGTCTTCCCTTAAAGCAATCTTGTTCATTAAACAATACAATGAACTTATCAATGAAATCTCCATGAGACCTCATCTACAACAGCCATTATATCTAAGCCTAAAAAACATGCTACAGTAAAAAGATGTGAAATATTCAATATAGTGTATTCTAATACTCCTATATTTCTAGTATATAGGTACATTGGTATGTGTAGTATCGGTGATTTATGACCACTTGCTGGAACTATCACACCATTAATGCTACTTCTGATAATACAGGAAGTAGCATAAATGTGTAGTATTAGGGACAGATTGTTCAAAAAGTTTTGCATGGATGCTTCTTAAGAAAATTTTTAAATCAAGACAGATATAAACTACTATGGTATAGCCAGGTCCTTTGCACTGATCATCACACCCCATGCCATAATCATTTGGATACCACACACACTAATGAAAGTTTTAAATAGAAATTGACTTGTAACAGTCAAAGATTGAAGCCATGTGATGAATGGAAAGTCATGGGAAGAATGTCCTATATCTAGTGTGAAAGTGGTATAAGGATGTATTTGTTACCCTTTAAAGATATGATGATCAAACTGCAGATTGAACTAGATGTTAATTGAACTGATTGTTGATTGATCTAACCTTTGATTGGACTGATTGTTAATGAAACCTAAGCATGGACTGATTGTCAATTGGACTAACCATTGAATCATAAATAGAAGAAACTGCCGGTTGAACTATATGCGTTGATTGAACTGATTCCTTGATTGAACTTACCAAAATAAATTGTTCATCAATTAAGATTTTGCATAACAGTGACAAGTTAACATTTAGTTTTAATGTAAAGAACACAGAAGTTAATCACGCAAACAGAAGTAAAACCCTTTGATTTACCAGTTAGTAAACTATAAGACCATAGTGGTATATTACAAGAAGAAACTGTGTGAGATGAAGAAGATGCTATAATATGTGTGTCAATCTCTTATCAATCTGATGGATGTTCAAAGAAAGATTGGGATGGTGAGATGGGTCTTGGTAAAGAGATGTGTATGCTATACTATGTACTTACAGCTATGCACTCACAGTCATTCTTCGGATTATATGATTTCTGTTCTATTATACTGACCTTTCAAGCTGAAGCTTTCTTTGTCTACCAGCCTTTCCAGCAAGAGTTAGGTCTGGTTTTTGATCTTTCTCACACTAATTTTTCCAGCAGTTCTTAAAACCAACCTTTCAAGCTGGTACTCTCTGAAGAAATCTTTCCTATACTAACCTTTTGAAATTGTAAGTTGAGAGTTTTCTTGTTTGGATTCAAACTTGGCAAGAGCAAGCTTAAGGCCAGACCTGAGGCAGACAAGTAAACTACCTCGTAAAATCTTTTCAATAAATGCTATCTACAGTATTATATAAACACTTTTCTTTTCCAGTGAAATTGTGCAAATTAAGGGCACTGGAGGAACATGAATTATATCCACAGACCCAATCAGAACGCTCTGCTTTGTCACATGACAAAATATTGAAAATGTCTGAATAAATATCGCATCGTTGATTGGCTGATTGGTTTTGTGGCGTCTCACAAAACTCTGCGGCAACTGCCGGGAGGAGCAATATTGAGAGTGAACTCAGCAGGGGTTTATTTACACAGTGGTCGGTTAAATCGGGCAGATTTATCAAGGTGAGGTAGGAACAATCAAAACCTTGTGAATCAAGATGCCTTTTTAGATCAATGGTTTAATTCCTGCAAGGAAACTGCAATCCCCTTCAATCTTACCTATAGTTTGATCCAAGCATGGAGAGAGGGCCATATAACTGACTAAGGTATGACATGAATAAAACGAAATCCCCCACTGTGAGCCCCATGTCATGTGTTATGTACCAGGCACAGTACATAGATCCCCCTAGATGCCCCCCATTCATCACTATGGCCTGTACAAAGTTGAGCATGTTAAGAGTTGCAATGGAGATCCATGACATCTCCTAAAATTAAAGAACCAAAAAGGTGGCAGTTAGTAACTAGGGAGGCATGAACTGTACTTAGTGTAATTTGCAGTTCAACCTCGGTTGGCCATACATCTCAATTAAAAAATAAAAATCTGGATACTTTTTTGATTAAAAATCAGGGTCATTTGAAAAAATGGGGTGAAAATTAGGTTTCTAAAAAAATTGGGAGAAAATCAGGGTTTCTAAAAAACTGGGGATAAACCGGGTTGGCAAAAACTAAATCGAAAATTTGAAAAAAATGGGAGAAAATCTTGACATTTTTTCTAAAAATCAGGGTTGTTTGGAAAAATTGAATTTCTGGATTTCTAGAAAGATCATAGGATAATTGAGGACTTGACAGGTGAGGTCGTGAGTAATAACTCAAGGATACGCAATGAGCTAGCAGAGATAAGAGAGCAATTTACATACAGGGTTCTGTCTCATAATTACTCTACAGCAAACCACATCCATGCATGCACAGTTAGTTAAATAATATGCAAGCGCTACAGAAGTGAACTCATATATAGAATTCTTGGATGTTAAAAGTGCAGGTTTATCATACGTTTAAACATGTAGAATTGTTAATATTGCATGTATCAAAGCAGCTGTGGTATTTTTGCAATATGTATTGTATAGGACAGGTATCGATATGGAGAACTTTTTGAACACACGTTTCTCTTAAACCAGTCATAAAAAAAATCTAATATTTATCACATCGTCAATTTAATGGTCATCTTTTGAATGGTAACAATATAATTTGAAAAATATATTATTATATACTTTCATCTATGTTTAAGAAAACACATCAAACAATTTGTTCTTGGTATCATGTTTCCAGAGTGAAATGAAACATCTTTCCGAACCTCATTGGAACAAAAAGACATAAACACAAACTGTTTAGGTCTCTCAATATTGTAATTGTATCTTGTTCATGAAATAAAAGGTTTATCTTGATTTTTATCTATTTTGGGGGGATTTTGTTTTAATTTGTTTTAATTTTTTGAATACTTTTTTTTTTAAAATCAACCAAAAATTCCTTTGTATTACTTTAATATTGAGGGGTCTAAAAACATGTTGTATATGCTATTTTGTTCCAACAAGGTTCGGAAAGACATTTTATTTCATTCTCAAGAATTGGTAGAAAGGAGCAAAAACAATTGCACTAAAAAAACAAAAAATGTTAAAAAAAACGGTTATATAAAATATTTCTAAATAATTTTTGCATTAAATTGTTGTCAATCAGTCCACATTACATAAAATTTGTTGAATTGAGTTCTCCATATCGATACCACTCCTTTGTTGTCTTTACCTCACTTTGACATCTTTTTATTTTGATACTAAATCTATCTAGGCATAGCCTAATAAGTTTTGCAATAAGGTGTGAACATTATCTAAAATATAAATTTTTCTGTTTCAAAAACATTTTTTTGTGAGGGTTAGTAATAAATCAACATTTGCTAGTGGATAACTTACTTGGTATTTCACAATGGCTTCCTTATATCTGTTCACCTCCCATTCTTCAGCACCATAATATTTCACCTGAAATAATGAACAAGGCATTAACATGACTTGTAAATTGTTCATCGAGTGAAAGTTTTTTAGACCTATTTCCAATATGGCGGTTTGCTAGGTGCGAGATACGCAACGAACGAAATGAATTTTGAGAATTAGTTAGGTTCGGACAACCTCCGGAGATTTAAGAAAATGTCCGAGCAGAAACCGCCATATTGGAATTTGGCAGTAAAACGATTCACTCGACTAACAATTACAAGTCTTGATCGAAAAAGAAGTACTCCAGCGCTCCGATACTTACACGGATTGATGATACTGATGTAAGACACAGTTAGAGACCAAAAGTAAGCCGCGGATCGACTTAATTCGATTTCAAAGGTCACGATCATTGAGCTGTCCAAATGCTCCGTGGGAAAGCTATTATATCAAAATCCAATAGCTTTCGCAGGAAGTAAATCAAACCTACTTCTATCTATTTAAAGATAATGGTTGAGATATAATGAAGTTTGGGTTGTCATAGTAACCGGAACAGATGCGCTTACTAGGCTGTAACAAAACAAGGTACAGGACATATTTACATTCGTACAAAGTCTGAGAATAACTTACTGTTTCAAAATTGAGAAGAGAATCTACACCTTTAGAGTTTCTGTCATTGTCTAAGAGATTCATTTGACGTCTGAATTTAGTTCTCCATTCTGTCACCAGGATTGTAGCAACTGCAAAAAATATACATTAAATTCCTATATTACTAGTAAATACTATCATCCCTTGATTAATAAAATCTACGTACTAAAACATGATTTACTTAATGCTACATGACATGCTTGTTTTGGCATGCTTCTTTCTCTATAAAACTATATACTTGTTCACAAATAAAGTAAGTTAAGGCTATCAATGCAAACATGTGCACTTCGTTCACTTTCACAAAACTTATGATAAGACTCAAGAACACAGCTCAGCGAAAGCATGCCTGATTAGCTAATCGTTCCAAATGAGTGAATGAAGGGATTAGCTCAAGTTGAAACATTTCTAAAGGCTGTGCATAACTTACTTAAATATAGGGCCATTGTTCCAAAGACTATGAGGCCAAAGTATATGTTGAATGCTGACGTGAAGTATACTATTGCTATAATGATATCTGCTATAGTTGGCAGAATGTTGAATACGATATAGCTGGAAATATGAAAAAGGCATAATGTTAAACATGAGAATGTTGAACACTATGTAGCTGGAAATATGAAAAAGGCATATTATTAAACATGAGAAAATGACACAAAACATCAACTGTTGATGCCAAGTGCTGGTCACAGGGAATTGGTGGCTATAACTATTGTCACCAGTGGGATGGAATATGAATTTTATTCCAAGAGTAAATATGATATTGTTCAAGGAAAATGTTTTAAGTAAACTAAACTCCACGTTTACCAAACACATAGAACACAACTACTAAATTAACTTTCAAATAGTAATGGCCTTGTGGGCGAGTATGACATTTATTCATCAGTCCATTTACATCAAGCAACTATACATCTCGTTACATATCACAAATCTCAACTTCTGAATGTTACTCTGAGCAACATTTTTTGCTGACCGACAGCATCGTACATGTACAATGTCAATATCAAATTCTGTAATATTCGCTTTGCTTGGCAGCGTTAAACTCCAAATCTGTAAATCATAATATTTTGTTCTGAGCAATAAGGAAAGGCGTAGTAGCCTTGCTGACCGACAGCGTTACACTCTATGAAAAACTGTGAATATCAATATTTTTCCTCTGAGCAATAAGTAAAGGCGTAGTTACCAAGCTGGCCGACAGCGTTATACTAAGCTGACCGACAGCGTTATACTAAGCTGACCGACAGCGTTAGTGTACTTTTTTAAATCAGTTCTAACATAATATCTAAATGTTTTTCACTGTAAATACCCTTAGTAACAGGCAAGGCAGCCTTACATTTACTCTAAAAAGATTGGTAAGCTATTATCATTCCTGAACTTACGGTAAGCTCGTAACAATTAATATTAATAAAACAAATGTTATTCTTACATGAAATAAACGAGGTGAAATCGAAAATTTCTCAACTTCCGGTGACCCAACCTTAACCCCCTTTTTAAGGAGGGAGGAGGTACTCGACTTAAAGTCGGCCCCGTGATCCGAAATGAAGCAGAGTTACAGACGAGGACTTCGATAAACGATTCACCTGTTCGAACAATGCAATATGATATTTTGAAAATTTTAACAAATATGAAATATCTTAAAAAACATTTGCCTGTGTAACTTTGTCATACCTCGCTTGCGTGTAAACCGAGAATGACCTTACATTACATACATAATTCACATGTCCAAATGAAATACTCCAAGCGTGAATACCCTACTCACTTACCACCTACGATCACCCTAATAAAAATGCTACGCAATAAACATTTCGCCTTCCGTAATACTTAAAGTAATTTTCAAACTGATTCGTTACACTCAAACGTTAGAAAATCTATTTAAGTAAACTAAACTCCACGTTTACCAAACACATAGAACACAACTACTAAATTAACTTTCAAATAGTAATGGCCTTGTGGGCGAGTATCACCGAGGCTAAGATGGCGTAAATGTTTGAAATTGTAAATTGCTAAATGTATGATTTCACTTAAAGTCCCAGACTTAAAGTAACTGAAAGTCTTTGGCTGATGTCACTTTCAATGTAACCGTCTTTTGCAGTTTCACTGCGCCATCTCCCATGCGCCTTAAAAAGCCTGTCTGAAACACCTGCGTTGGCAGCCTTAGTGGCACCCCCAGAACGTAATGAATGCAACCCGTAAACCTTACTATCTACCCCAATTTTGTCCAAGGCAGCTTTGACCATATCTCTACAAGTTGTGTAACTGATTGGTTTATTACATTCTTTCAACTGGTGTTTTCTTTTGCTTTTAAAAAATGAAAGTGCTCCAAAAATGAATTTGTCAGTTTGTGAATTAACACCCAGTTCTCTCATGTATCTTTGCAACAATGAAACTGGACATGTCTTGTTGTTTGATTTGGCTATTAAAACATTTGCACCGTTACGATAACAATCCGTTTTTGATTTCTCTACAAAGATATCTATGTAATACTCTTTGAAACTGACATCTGTGAACTTCAATCTTGACATTTCGTCAAACCTAAAAAACCCTGCAAATGCCAAAATCATAAAAGTGGCCGTTCTTAGCTCCAAAACGCTTGCATTTTCTCCAGCAAATTTATCTATTATATCTTCCAAGTGTTTTACTGTAATTGGCGCTTTCTTGCTGACCTTTTTGCTAGAAAGACGAAGTGACCCTTCTGTAACCAGTTTTACCATGTTATGCTCGCATGGATTGCCAATGCATGCCATGTTATGAGCCCAAGCAATACTGTATTTTGCCGAAATTACTTGACTGTAACTCTGATTTGAATTTTGAAAAATACTCAAAAGATATATTGAAACATGTATATGGTTTGCTGGGAGAAATTGTAAGCCAAGTGCGTTACACCAGTTTTTGAATTTTTCAAAACCTGCAGAATATTTTGTAACCGTATTTGGTTCCCTGCTTCTTATCGCAAAGTCCTTCAACTTGTTTGGAAAGTCCTTTAATTCTTCTTGTTTTGAGCAAACGTCGGTTACATCTGTCCAAGCTTTGCTGTTAAACACCGTATCACTGTAGCCTGAAAATACATTGGATGGCACAGATTACATTTTGACTCTTGTTGCTCATAGAAGCACAGCGTTTGATTTACACGTAACATCTACAACACAACGCGCATGTGCCTCAGAGGCCACATTAATCAGTCATGACTGATTTGCAAAGCTATGAGCGGGCTACTGAACCCTTGTGCACTATCAAAAACGCTGTTTTTCTGTGAGCCTTTTGTGAAATAATGCCCTCCTTTAGGGAATTCAATAACGCTTTTAATGCTAGAATGATACTTCCTACCATCATGTAATACTGGCCAATACACTGCTGACAGCCATTTTGGTACGACCAACGTACCTCGACCTCTCTGCTCTACTAAATATCTAAATGCTTTTGCCACCTGAGGCAGCATGGCGGTACTAACCAATTATTCTCATGCTTCCAGCACTGAGTAAAAGCGTCTGCTGCTTCTGCCTCTGGGCAGTGAAATCTGGAATTGAATCTGGTAATATTTCGCATTATGCACATCAGCAAACCTGTCTACCGTGAAAGGCCCCCATCTAATGTTAAGATAGTTAAAAACATTCAAACGAATTCCCCAGTCGTCGAAATCTATACATTTACTGATTTTGTCTGCTAGAACATTATGCTCCCTAGGCACCCACTCTACATTCAACTTCACATTTTTCTCTTTACAAACTCTGTGTATTTTTAGAGCTAAACTTTGAAGATCTGGTTTCATACTACCTTTCGAAATGATTGATCTTACATTTTTATTGTCTGTGAACCATTTGATTTCTTGATTATTTAACAAATGCATGAGGGACAGTAATGTTGTGAACACTCCCATTAACTCTCTCCAAGTTGAACTTTTCTGACTCTCTGCATCAGACCATGTTTTGTGACATACCTCATTCTCAAAATTGACCACATACCCACCACATCCACTATTGCTAGTGTCTGAGTACACAACCCTGGAATGTTTGTATTCTCTTACCAATGATGTCCCGTTGTACGTGTATAAACCTTGTAACCAAAATTCTAGCTCGCCTATTGCGTCATTTGGTAAACGAATACAATTGTCCCAGTTTGACCTACATGCAACAACTACTTGTAACGATCTCGTTTTAAGGATACATATATCACCTATGGCATGCCTTAATGCGACCACTTTCCCTACTACCGCTGCGCTCTAGCAGTTGTTCTGTTTGCATTACTGAGTAACTTACTAACCTTTTCATGCACATCTGAGAGTTTACTTTCTGGCACCAATAGTTTACCCTGTGACAGATCCAATTTAAAACACAACCACTGCTGTACCTGTTCAGGCTGCCATTTTGACTTCTTGTCGTTTGGAATAAAGCCAGCTTTGATCAGATCTGATCTCACCTGGTTGGAATGCTCTATGCAAAGTGAAACACTCTCGTGGAAACAAAGCCCATCATCCAGGAATACTATAATTCGTATACCTTGACTACGCCAGTGTTTTACAAGTTGCCTAACAACTTTTGTGAATATGAGACCTCCTGCGCTAATACCAAAGGGTAATACTGTGTATTCAAAGTACCTGATTTTTCCTTGAAGTTCCCATGAAAACCCTAAGAATTTCTGATGTTCTGGTAGTATGTTCAAATGATGGTAGCCATTTTTGATATCAAACACAAACATATATCCCCCTGGTGCTAAATATTCTTTGGCAACTTGCAAATCTTCAAACTTTACTCTGTCTAAATTGATGAAAGGGTTGACATGTCTTAAATCTAACACTAACCTGTCCTTTTCTGCATTTGATGCCACAGTGAGAGGATTTACTACATGTGAAGGATATTTTACCTCTTTGATCCGACCGTCTTGCAATAATTCATTTATTGATTTTTCTACAAACTCACGTTTCTTTAAAGCAGATTGATTGTTTTTTAGAATTGCTTTGTCGGTTCTTGTTCAAATGGTATTCTATACCCGTGTTTGATTGTATTGACTACGTACTGTGAAGCACCAATCTCTCCCCAAAAGCTAACGTTTTTCTTTAAACTATCTTTTACAGATTTTTCTGATACAACATGTGATAAAGTCTTACTCAACTTATGATCTGTTGTTGTTCTGGCTGCTTGAGTTGTAGGAGTTTTGTTGGAACGAGGCACCTTGCTTGCAGTCACGTGCCCAATGTCCTGTCTGGGAACAGTTCCTACAGACGTCATTTGCTCTGCTTCTGCCGTTGTAGTACGAGCCGCTGTTGAAGTTGCTGTTCCACTGTCTTTGATGGCGTTCCTGCCATCTACCGGATTGTTGGTTACCCCGGTCCTGCCCATTTCTGCTGAAATTGAAACTTTCTCTCTGGTTATTACGTGACCCGGTTCTTACAGTTATCTTTTTCTCCCTAGCTTTTCTACCCGCATTAACCCTTGCACTACGAATCTTTTTGTCATCGTCGCTATCACTAGCGTACTCATCTTTCATATATTCCTCGACCGCGGCCCAACCAAGGGTTGAGTCGTCCGCTATTTGAATGCATTTATTTCTATAAGAAATTAAAGCAATACCTTCATCCAGCTTGGCTGCAGCCTCTTGTTCTCTGTCTGCCAGTAAATCTTTAACGTCTTTCATGACTTCCAGCACCTCCACGTTGTGGTCAAACTGCTTTTGATTTCCTTTCTTTGTGAGCTTGGTTTCCGTCTTTGCCTTCTTCGTCATTTGTTTTGTATCCTCCTTTATCTCCCTCTTGAGCGTGTTGAGTTTCTTGTCTAATAGAGTTTCTAATATGTCCACTATTTGAGGCATTTGTTCGTGTGCCATTTTGGATGATTATGTAGACGGTTCAAAACTTTGTCATACCTCGCTTGCGTGTAAACCGAGAATGACCTTACATTACATACATAATTCACATGTCCAAATGAAATACTCCAAGCGTGAATACCCTACTCACTTACCACCTACGATCACCCTAATAAAATGCTACGCAATAAACATTTCGCCTTCCGTAATACTTAAAGTAAATTTCAAACTGATTCGTTACACTCAAACGTTAGAAAATCTATATATTGACAGAGGGCAATAGCCAATTATATACCCAGTTTATTTATGTTATTATGGAATAAATGATAATATTATATTGTAAATATCGTAATTTAACATATAAATGAAGTTGGATAAAACTTAGTGAAACTGGTAGAATATCAAGAATATTCACCTTAACAGTTGGTTGACACTGCTTGTTCCTCTGTCCATTATTCTCAGAACTTCCCCTGTCTTTTTGCCAAGATGCCATCTTAGTGATAAACTACAAACACAGTAATCACAATATCAATAAATATTTGCTAGATTCCACAATGTGGCCCCTTAGTGATAAATCAATTATTTATTATCAATGAACGATACAAACACTTCCATTACTCTACAGGGTGTTCAAGAAGTATCTGATTGTGCAGTAGTGTTGCTGGTTTTATAATCATGTCAATATTCAATGGATATCAGTCCTTCATGTTTTGTGAGTAAATAAGCTTCATCATATTCACGAAACATGGTTTGCATAATGGTTACTATAGAAACATCACTGCACCATTTCCTAGCAACCAAATGTTGCTATCCACACGTGTCATGCTTCCTCAGACTTAAACTAATGAGATTTTAAATGAAATTTTGTAATGCCGAGTTTATCATGAAATATCAGCAGTTAGATGTCATCATTGGAAGCTTAATCGATCTACTCCAGTTTTGTTAAAAGAGACTTAAAAGTCACGAAATAGTGAAGCATACCTGTGCAAGTGTTTAAAGAAGTTGACACTGGTCTCTTTGGTTGTGTACTGGGTAACTCGAATCCATAGAAACGTCCTCAGATTGTTCAGTAATCCCATTGATCCTAAACAAAAATGAATGCATTGTATGTAAAATAATTCTGTGATGTTGAAATTGTAGTTTCAGTACATTTATAATGATTAAAAACAAGAGCCAACCTACCAAAGCCTCCACCTTGTAGGAATCTCAGACCTACATATATGGCAATGTAGTCCCATCTGAACTCTAGTCCCCCTGCCTGTAATACACGGTGGTCAATCTGATCATCTTCAGCTGGTTTCTTTATAGTGAGACTGTTCACTAAAATATAAAAGTGCTCAATGTTATAAAAAATCATGATAAGCTTTGCAGTAAATCACATTATTTATTATGCTAATAACATACAAATGTGCACACTTACTATTAATGTCTCATAGTAACTATTTTTGATTTCTCACTCACACTAAATGGGACGTGTCATTCTGAATCATTTTCAATATTTATCTCCTTTGCACTTTACAGTACTCACCGATATTTTTGTAATATATAGGCACCAGTAGATTTACACCACGGCCAGCTCCAAGGATAAGAAAACAGACCACAACTCTTATCTACAAGCGAAAAACAATGATCTATACTTTATGGTAATGCATTTAATTTGCAACAACTAGAGGTGCATCAACCATTGGCCAATGGATATCAGTTCTTTTTGTCAGAAACAAAAGGTTAAGGTTTAGGTTTTAATTATTCACTCAAGGGGTAGGTTGGTTCACTGTCCATTAGTTCCAGATAAAAAGTTTAGACACATTCTTAACTTTGGACATAGACATCTGATACTTTTTTTTATTTTTTTTTATTCATTTATATAAAATAGATGTACATGGGGTGATATAGTAAATACAAGGGAGCATATTCAAGTGCTAATCACCATTTTGGCATTATAAGCACTCTAGCCTAGCGGGGAAAAAGTTGAAGAGGGGTGGAAGGGGGGGGGGGGGGTCTGAGCTGGGCTGGGACTGGGGGAAATACAGGGCAGAGGGACAATGTAATTTATATTTGAAAGACAAGGCAGGGTACAATAGGTTCTAGAATAGTCTTGTTCAGTATGGAGTAAGCCATCTCTTAATAAAGGCAGAAGTCAGAGTAAAGATTTTTGTGTTTTCATCCTTGCTAAAATTACGATTACCAAAGGCTAGGTATTCTAAAAGTGTAGATTGGTTAGTGGGGATCAAAGGTGTTTCGCTATAGAGAGTATTGAAAAAGGTAGTTCTTGCATTTTCATTCAGAGGGCAGTGAAAAAAGAAGTGTTTCGGGTAGACCACAAGAACAGTTAGGAGAACTGATGAAGGTGTAATTGTGGGCAAAGAGTTGAGCCCTGAAGAGCAGGTCTACCCTTAACCTATTAATAAGTGTTTCTTCATTTCTAGAAATATTTAGCTTTGAGGTAGGGATTATGTTTATGTCAAGGTTGAGAAGGTGCTTGCGATTGTTGTTCTTAAAGGCAATGAGGGTTTTACTTGTTTGAATATTCTTTGGTACAGATAGCCAATGGGAGATTGCATTTGGTATGGAGGAGTTCAGGTATTTAGTAGTGGCATGGTTGGGTAGCCTATAGTGGCGATTATATCGTAGTTCTCTTTGAGTATCACATCGAAACTTATCAAAAATATCGTTTATGTATGGTGGAGATATACCTTTACTAACGTTGAACATGAAATTGTTAATTTGGAGTTTTCGTCTAGTTTCTAGGCTTGGCCAATTTAATATGTTAAGAACTTTAGTTGTACTGGTTCCTGGTAGACAACCTGAGCAGATAAGAGCACATTGATAGTAGGCACTATTTAGATATCCAAGTAAATACTTGGAAGATGAGTCAAAAAGAAGTGATCCATTGTCAAAGTGTGGGAGAATGTAGGACTTAAAAAGTGTTTCCAAGTGAGAAGATGTCAATTTAGATTTGAGAGCTTTAAGGGGATTTGTGAGTTTGGTAATTTTATTTCGAAGTCCTAAGATGTGGTCTTTGTTTGATAGGAGTTGGTCAAAGACATATCCCAGATGTTTGTGACTTGGTACTCTCTGAATAACTTGGTTAAAAAGGTTTGAGTGATTTATATTTACATTATTGGTTCTGGAACTTTTGAAAATAAGTTCAAAGCTCTTTTCAGGTTTAAATGTTAATTTCCAAGTAAGTGACCAATTTTCAATAGCAAGGAGATTACGAGCAACAGTCTGATCAATGTCACTAGGGCTATTTGGGTCAAAGGGGAAATATATTGAGGTGTCATCAGCATATATGAAACATTTGGAGTCTAGGTTATCAGGTAAGTCATTTATATATACTAGGAACAATATGGGACCAATGATTGAGCCTTGGGGAACGCCACAGTTGATAAAGTGTGGGTCAGATATGTTAGAGGAAATGCCAGATATGTTAACCTTTATTCTGCGATCTAGTAAGTAATTTTTGAGTAGTTTGAGTAGCACGCCCCTTATGCCATAAGCTTTTAATCTGATACTGATAGGTCAGGACCTGATTTGAGGAGAAAATAACTGAAGTATATTTTTGACATGTTTGACCACAACATAATCCAAACACTACATATTCTGACAAACTTGCATTCAAAGAATTTTAAAAATCAACAAAATGTAATGAACTTTTAAGACTCCCCTAACATAGTTATTCATTTTTTCATATTTTTATCATTATTTTTTCATATTTCCATTATTATTTTTATTCATATTAAGTTTCTAGATGTCATAGATATATTGACCTATTTTCCTATTGACATCACACTGTAAAATCCTTTATACAAGTCAGAGGGTAGTGTACCTAGCTGATAGAGATACAGGGTAATCTGTATGCTTACCTGGAGTGAAAAGCTCTTCTTGGGCCACATAAATGGCCAGAGTAAACTGAGTTTCTTGAAGAACTTGCCCCATGTAGATGTGCTTTCACTGTTGGCCTCATTTCCTAGCAGAGGCTGAAACATATTGGAACAAGATTGAATATTATTTTTGATGCACTTCTCATTTCAATTATTTTTCAATACAAAAGATTTCCACAAATCTAAATTGAAACTTCCTGATTTACCAAAAGAGTGATATTAGATTTCATCTTTGTCAAAAAAATGTATGCATCATTGACAGACAATAACTTTCATGTTTGTCTTTTTCATACACTTTGTTAATAATGTTGGTATTCATTCACTTAGTTTCAGATGCCAGAATTTAGTTTTATGACAAAGCTCATATTTTTTTAGTTTCTTTTCAGAAATAAAAAACATAGCCTTGCTCAAGTCCCTGGACTTATCTTCTTGTGTTGTGCTGGTGAAGGTGAAGTACCTAATGGGGGAGCAAGACTATAAAAAATACAAGGGAATGTATCCTACCTCCCCCTGCTCTGCATCTAGATAGTGTCTTCTAGTTGCTGGTCTAGGAACACCAGGGGCCTTCAGTCCCAAAAGGAACAACAGAAAAGTGAATAAATACCTTGTCACCCAAAGGCCAAACTCTATCTGATCATCTGAACTGCAACATGAAATAATAAAACAAGATGACAATCAGTTAAATTAAGGATATAATAATCATTATTGACACTATACACTTTACAATGTCATGGCTAGCTTTTCAATTCAAGGAATTTACACGAAAGGTGGTGTGAAATTGGATACAGAGTACTAAGCCTAATAAATGTAAAAACTGACAGTCAGTATACTGACAACTCTGTTCTTCTGTTATTTATCAGTGGCGTAGCGTGGATATTTTATGAGTGTACGCCACGAGTGAGCGAAGCGAACGAGCTTTTAGGGGGGGGGTTCTTTCCCCCAAGAAAATTTGAAAAAATTAGATTTCATTTGAAGCATTCTGGGGCGTTTTAGAATACGAAATTCCGACTACGAAAAAATAATATGAATTGATAAAATGTTAGGCCATTAATTCAGAATATTAAACGTGGGTCATTTCAATATCAAAAATTCACTTTTCTCTAAACATGAGAGTACGCTATGGCGTTTTATGCGTATATGACGCTACGCCACTGTTTATTATCTGTCACATTCATTCAAGTATGGTGTATAGCACAATATCAACACTGTAGTGTAGGGTGTGTCAAAATTTATGTATATTTGAATAGCTTAAAATAAATTTTAAATACCTTTTCAAAGACCAAAACCATGAAGGACTGAACCAGGACACATATGCAATGTTTTCATTCATAAATGCAAACGACCAAAAGAAAAGTAGGACAACTCCATGACTGGTCGCTGGAACACTTGGGAGTTGACGACGTCTCTCTACCAATATCACTGGTATACTATACAGCCACATTAAACTATAGAACGTTGTTCTAATTATCATATACACCACAATCTGTTTATTGCCTAACACAGTAGCTTCGAGGATTATATGCACAATTGATATGAGTGACATCATGATAGTTAAAAAAAGCTGTAGTTTAAATAACGATGATTTTGGCCATGTGTTGCAATCTGTAAATGTTGAAAACTTTCTGTATATGCCAAGCTGTAGTGTTCCTCCTATAAACATCCACCCAAATAAGATTGATGATGTGACTGTCTCCAGGAAACAGTGAGAGAATCCCTTATGAATCCAGACATCTGACAGAGAGATATTCTGACCACAGAACTCCATTGTAACTACTTTTTCCTGGAATTAAATAAATATGTATTTCATTACAATCTATTTATTGCCTTAAGGAAATTGATGATAAATACATCAATATTTCCTGTCACTACCTGTATATTCCCTTGGTGTCCTACTCCTTTACTACCTTTTCATGGCTTGACTGATTCGCTAGAATTAATAAAAAATCAAGACTTAGCTAAAGAAAATGAAATTGTTACTTACCTTCCAGAAACTAGTAAAAATTCATGAATTGAATGCCAACACATACACTTTGTTGTGTCAATCATTGAGCATTAAGCACAATATCCAAGAGATATTAAATTAACTGTTAAACAGACTGCGCTAAGTGCGCTACCTCATAGGAAGTTTCGATAGGCAATATTACTAGTGTTGTTGTGATTAATCGATGCATCACAATATTCATTGCCAAAGCTGATTTTGGCGATGCATGGATGTCTGAAACAAAACATAGATGTTTTAAAAACGCAAATGTCTTACCTTTTTCATGTCTTAGTTCATTTTCCAATGTTCTCTGATATATTCTTTCACTCTAAAACTGTTTTAGCTAGTCAAAATGAATGATTGATTTAAAATTCTTTACTTTACTTTCACTTCACTGTTACCGGAAGTACCTGGATCAGGGGCGTAGGAAGGTGTAAATTCAACACTACGCCAAAAATCCCGCCAAAAATATGAAACAATTGTGTCAATATTCTATATCAAAACGCCTATTTTATGCTCGTAAAATGTCATTTTATGAAAACAGAGATTTTAAGCTTGCAATGTTTTTCACAACCTAAATGTGAACGGAAATACTAAAGCGATGCATTTGTATGGGCGATTGGTCATACGTATAGGTTGGCGTTTCGATTTTATATGCAAGCTTTAAATCCCTGATACCTTTTTAATGTGCTTTAAAATGTTCGAATGATTTTCATCATTTAAAATCACCTTGGAAAGCCTATCTTTTAAATCTCGACACAAATCACTCTCACTTTGCTAATGTCTCGAACGATTGAGACGACCAATTTCCAAAACAATAAGAGATTTTTTAATAATTTTCGAATAATTGAATTTAGATATATAGTATTGTCTGATTCCATCGTGTACCGTGCAATACAATACGTACAGATTAAAGAAACTAGTTTGATCAATTGATATGAAGAAACGCATTCGTGATCAATGAAACAAATAAACACCCCCACAACAAAAGTCAAATCGAGGTCAACGTGACTTAGGGGGTGCCAAAAATGTTATAAAACAAGAATCTATTATTTTTCAAATGAAAAAAAACTAGGTAATCGCTTTTCTAGGACTGAAATCAATGAAACGTGTTATTGAATAATCAGCATTTTCAAGTTGTTTTTGTCTTTAACATTCATATTTCAAGAAGTACTACTAATAACAATTACTGATTTAGTAAGAAAATAGATAATTGCTGACTTAACTATAATTTCTGTCTATGATTTTGCATAGCAACGGAATATAAATCGATGTAGTGAAATTGAAAAATCGGGGTAGGGGAGAATAAAAAAATATACATCTTTTAAAGAGGTTCATCATTATAATCATATGATACCATAGTTTGCATAAGCATTACGGAACATGCAGAAAAAATGAAAAAACAGTTTTTCTCTCAAATTCGTGAAGAGAACGCGATTCACGAATATTTGGCGAAATTGTATTTTACTTTTAAAATTCATAAGATAGTCTCGATTTTCATGAAATAAAGCATGTTGGTAAGGGAATTCAATCTGTTAAATGATATTTCCCAGACAGACCAATAATGATATGGTATCCACAAAACATTTCTTTAGGCTAGTGTGCTCGAGATTACTTTTACAATTTATGAACAATGAGAAAATATGACTAAAGAACAAAGGAAATTTTTTATTCTCACTTTTCAACACTACGCACTGGCGTTTTGGCGTACATTGTTCCTACGCCACTGTGGATGTACCAGAGTACTATTATTTATTTGTTACGTTCGGTATTTTAGTGCATTAGTGTTCGATATTTCAGTGCACTTTCTCTTGACTTTTTCTCAATGTACATCGCGATGTGTATCGTTGTTTACTCCTAAAAATTGCTGATGCATCGATGTACAATTATGGCACATCGCGACAACACTAAGTATTACTGAACACATGTGGAATTCGAATTTTGGTTCACTAATTTTGAGCATTGATTTTTACTAGCTTCAGGAGGGTAAGTGACAGTCTCATTATTTAGCTAAATCTTATTCTAGTGAATCATTCAAGTAATGAGAAAGGTAGTAGTGCTATCTGCTCTGTCTGCAGTGCAAGTCTGACTCTTACTCACTCAGAGTGTGAGAGTTGATATTTTATTTACCAGTCTTCATTTAATTACATGCAACGTTTTACATAGTAGATATATAGTCATTGAATTGAATAAAATATATATGTATCAAAATATTGATAAAAATCAATCATACATACCAATATGAAGGTTGAGCCGATGAATTTATAACTTTTTCAGAAAATGATTTTATAATTTTCGAAAACGTACTGAATATGTATAAATATTCATGGTAACGTTTGGTATTCTTAACTTAGCGTTTAAACAAGTTTATCAAGCATTTTTCATACTTGTATTTTAAACATTTATTTTTTGATATATTATTTCAACAATCAAACATTATCAGTTTATTTCAAATTATCTTATTTTAACAAGTAAAAACAAAAAAATTGTGATTATACGTTCGAATTTAAATAAATAAGTAGCTCCGTTTCAAAATCCGGAAGTAGAGTCAAGAATGTTTTGAATACAAACATTTACTTGTCAATATTGTGATAAATAGTCCATAATTAACCAATATAGTTAGTCAAATCATAAAAAAATATAATCACGCATAGTATTAACTGAAAATAAGAGAGATGAGACGCCGTGGAGCTGGATTAGGAGCAATAAAAAACAAAAATTTAGCCCAGGTAAAAATAAAAATTAAAAAATTCTATAACCATTTCAATGAGGGTGTAGTGTGCATGTAAGGTAACACCTACAATGAAAAATTTCACCCTTGAGATAACATTGCACAATTAGTTCTGTTCTGATACTAAATTACTATCAATCTCATTCAATGTCAAAGGGATGACTTACTATATTTGCACATAGCCATCTTTAGATAGATATAGCTTTGTGTAAACTAAGTAAGGGATGACTACGAGGCTTATAGAATTGTCTTTGTGTTTATGATCTTACAGATTTGATTACACCGCCATCTTATAATCAATATAAAAATCCCCATCATCATTTGCACCTCAGCCTATGTTTACTGGTCCTCCCTTAGATACAATGTATGGTAGTGTTGGAATGCTCTAGTTATTTTAGCTTAGTATAACCTTAGCATGTATATACACAGAATGCACATACATTTAAAGATCCAAAATTTTGGCTTTTGAAGTACATGTAATACAAACTGATAAATAATGAACCTTACCTTGTCAATGATGTGATTGTAAACAAAAGATGTTTATAATAAAGCCAATAAACACAGCATACTTCTTGGGGTCAACCCAGTTGTCCGAAACCCAGTTGTCCGAAACCCAGTTGTCCGAAACCCAGTTGTCCGAAACCCAGTTGTCCGAAACCCAGTTGTCCGAAACCCAGTTCTCCGAAACCCAGTTTTCCGAAACCCAGTTCTCCGAAACCCAGTTCTCCGAAAATTAAAAAATTAAATGTCTTAGCGGTAACGAATCTTGTCGCAACTTCGCGAATCAGGACAGCATAACATTGGTATCACGTTGACATCGGTTAGCCCGGTCAATAATGGGTTCGAAAGTTCACGATCATATATATTCTTACTAGATTCTCGGCACATAGACTTATATGGACATTCTACAAATTTTGAACCGCATTGTCCCGGCAGCACGAATCGCACTCCTTCTTGGTGAAAATTCAAGACTGCCGCCAACATTTTAGACAATTATCACAGTCGAAGAGAATATTCTGGCGAAAGGAATATCTATCTCATTCGAATAACGTATGGACGTCCGTGACAATTATATATATTCATTTGATAATTTTTTCATTCCCTTTTCTCAATAAAATATGGTTAATTATGTTTTCCCGCTTTTCCAATATCAATTGATAATATTTCTACCCTGAAAAATATCTAAAAAGAAGATTTTGGTTGTTCAGTACCACCCATTGTTAAGATTTCGTCCAAATTTTCGATAAATAAATAAAATATGCTCATTTCGTATAACTTATATATGTGGCATATATACATATCAGATGTCTATCCTTTTTTCATCATAATATAAGAGGTTTGTATGTTTTAGTAGAAACGTATTCCTTTCCAAACATTTAGATTTAAGAATTTCTCCCATTGGTGATATTGTTAAATCAAAACTGTGTTTTTGCGATATATTGAACTGTTGAAGTAAGTGTGTAATAGTTTGTAGTAGAGCCAAGATTTGATCTGTATCATGTACGTACGTACCCTGCATAAAAAAAATTCGTTTTTAGTGTGCCATAGATGTCAACCATTAACTATTGCAGAATCATTGAAAAAGTTTTGTGAAAAATTAGGATAATGTTTCAAAATTATACACCGGACAATAAATAACTATACTCAATGCAGACAGGGAGTTTTAATTGCCCAAAAACTGAGTATCAAAATGCATTTGTATCTCTTTAGTATCTTGCATGACTCGTTCATATGAATTCTTTATTTCTACCTCGTTCCCAATACATTCTGAGACAGTTCAACCTTTGCCCCACGTCGCCACGCGGTCCTAACTTCGACCGTTAATTTGAATTTTTGACCTACCGGATATTTGAAAATCAATTACGAGTCTCATACTGCACCGTTTTTCTTCAAACTTGTTCCATTCAAAGCATGACAAAAATCTCTTTCTGATGGTACGTTATTATCTTAAACAGAGTTCCTACTTCCAGCGTAATTTTGGTCCCCAGTTGTAAGAAGGCCTTCTAACAGCTGGGGAGTGGGGACCAAAATGCTGCTAGAACGAGAGACTCTTTACAATAAAGTAATGCACTGACAGAAGTGCAATTTTGTTTTGCTTTTAATGGTATAATGGAAGAAAAACGGTGCAGTATCAGACTCGCAATCCTTGATTTTCAAGCATCTGGTAGGTCAAAAATTCCAATTAACGGTCGAAGACCGCGTGATTGCAGAAAGTGATGACCACGTGGAAATTTTGGAACTACCCTTTCGAGTAGGCAAGTAGACCCCATACGGTTCTAAGTACTTCCAATCCGTCCACACAGTTTAAGCCCGTTCTCGAGAGCGTAGTGAGAACTAGTTTGGTGTGATAATAGGGTCAGATACTGAAAGTGTAAGCATGGACGACCTCCCACCGTCCAATGAATACAGTGGGTTCAGAATCAGAAGGCGTTTCAGACGGCGTTCTGAAACAGCTCACTATAGCTTATTCCTTAAATTTTGGCCTGAATGCTTTGTACGTTGAGAGACGGGACGGGACACGAGCAGTGTGACAGCGCCATTAGCATTAGGCGCACGATGGGCACATTTTAACTTAGTATGAGTAGGGGATAATTTATGAGGATCAATAGGACTTCCCACGGCAGCCGCATGGTGAATTTTAAATTTCTGTTGATAAATAATACTTTTTTCATTTTATTTACATCAGGGCAATTTATAAATGTTATTCATAGTGCTAGGATGTAATATCAAATGAAAAGTGATCGTGAAACATTGACAAATAATGATTCAATCTTGTTGAGCCAGTTGATTTCTACGGGACCTCAGAAATGAACAAATATTATAACTCCGAGTTATAGCCTAATTTCTATACGGCGACCCTGCGGCGTGTGAAAAACTGGATACGCCGTACGGAGTCCCCAAGGCAAGCGTAGTTTTCCTACGCACAGGCACTGTAGCCCCTTTAAACATTATCCTCCGTCAATAGAAGATACACTCACCTCCATAAGTTGAATTTTTATTTACTTAACCGGCGATGAAATAACTATAATATTGATGGAAACGTAACTTGACTTTATTTCCAATACCTTCAAATTTTATCAATTTTTTCCAATTTTTTTCCTAAATTACAATAGGTCGAAAATTGATGATAAATTTGATGACTTTTTGAAAATCGTCATTCCCATGTCATCCAATGGGAAATGGTAGATTTACCGCACGTCATATGACAGAATATCCATCCATCCAAGTCCTTGCAAAATATGAGTAAGGCAGGCAATTGAATTTGCTAACTTTATTTAACAAAGAATTGATATGTTTCTTCAGGTTCAACAAAGTTACAGGGCTTTAAAGTCAAAATTGGTTTTCAAGAAAACTCTCCCATTGAAATAACACAGGAGTCGAAAAATTATTTTCAAAAATGACTTTGAAGCGCTATAAATTTAGTATTCATCAAATAAATTAAAACTTAGTGAACAAAAAAGTCAGACAATTCAATTTTTTATACCAAAAAAATTTTGCTGAATCTTTTACTGAAAAGATTCTGATTTGCCCCGAACTCTCTATTTCCCCTTGGATTATACGGGAATGACGATTTTAAAAAAATCATCAAATTTATCCGTTCAATTTTCGATCTCTTGTTATGGAGGAAAAAATCTAGAAAATTAGGAGGTATTGGAAATAAAGTAAAGTTACGTTTCCATCAATATTATACGCTATTTCATCGTAAATAAAAATTCAAACGTAAAGAGGCTTTAACACGTAGTTCAATGGGGGAGCTAAGGTTGCCAAACTTATGGCATATCGAGATTTTAGCGTCATTTTACCACGTGCTTTTAAACCTATTGTTATTGTCACGTGATTCCGCTGATCCAATAGCGTTACAGTAATCGAGTACTAAAACGTCCGCGCGAGGTTTTATAAGTCGCGCCAAATCTTGTTTACAGTGTAAACCAGATCATGAAAACAAGAGGAGAGCGAGTAGATTTCCTGTCTTATTTTCAAAACAAAGCGGATCTTAGGCCCAGTAAAATTAAATTATTATCCTACTCTGATGAGTACGATGTAGATAGAAGTTGGGCAAAGGAATTCTTAGGCCTCCAATCTAAACTAGAAGGTTACGATAGAGTAACACCTTACATCCACTGTTTGGTGTACCTACGCCTCGTGTTATTACTAAGGTATGGTAGCCTTAAAATCTTTACAGGGCAGGGTGTAGAAAAGTCCAATGATGATATCAAATCACTCTATCATAGGAAAACCCAAAAACATAAACCATCCGTAGAAGCGCTACGTGTACGAACAAGGAAATCAATGACTGCACCATACGCTAGGAAGACGCGCAGATGGAAAAAACAAAAGCCCAAGTATAACTGAAATATAAATTATATTGTTTCCGAGAGCTATGGTGAATTGTAAAATTAATCAATTCATACCTCTCTTATACACTATTTATCTTTCACTTAAGCATGGGCCATTTTTCATGATTTGCGCATCGTTCTAGCGTATGGGGCAGTCTTATGACTGGCCCAGTGCCCCATGTATGCTAGGAAGGCTAGAAAGCCATAGCTTTAATTATAAACTGGAAAATAAATAAATTTAAATTAATCAACTCCTCCAGTATAGAAAATGAAAAGAACATCGTTGCAACTTACAGTGTTAAATAAGTTGTATTATGAATAAAGTACGTTATAATTAAACATGTTAAATGTGTGACGTTTTAGCTATTTATTGTTGGAAAACGGCGTCGTATTTCAAAAACGACCTTACTTGTAACTTGTCAGGAAGAAAAGTTATTAAATGTGGTGTAAATAAAATATGTTAATATAAACGTATTAGTCGTGTTCTTTCATTTCCAACCCTGAGCTAACGATTTAAAAGAATATTAAAGGCAAAAATTACATTTGTATAACGCCAATTTCGCCATTTTTGCACTTTTTTCAGATCGGTTACATGTAAAGTATAGGAATTTTTGCCAAAAAACTGTTTTTTCTGGGGGAAGAAAATATTTTCATAGTTGATCGTCAATTTTTTGCACAGTTGACCTTTGTTAGTATCTTCACCATTTCTAACCCTGAGCTAATGGATCAATTTAACATTTATTTAATTATTTGATATTCAATTTTGTCCTATATGGACATCCCATTAGAATTCTGCAATGATGCATGCGTGACGTCACATTATGTTAATTAGCAAATGACGTCAAAATCTCGATATGGAGGGGAGTGTATAAATACAACTACCGGCTTTTCACGCAAATGAGCCTACTGGGCGTTTATTTAGTAAAGTTGACGTCGTGTACATCTTTTGAAACCAAAAATTATTCTTCATTTAGGTACTCTGTTCGAGAAATAGAGATTAAATTCAAAAAGATGAAGTGAGTACATGGCGAAAATGAAACTTCTTGCGAATTGGAGAACATCCAATTTGATACGAGGACAGCCTGTCTTCGTTTCCAGTAAATCCCAAGTGATTACGTTTATAATGTTTTGTTCTTTTACATTTTACGATTTGATAAGAGACAGAGACTAAGAAATTAAATGCGACGAAACATTTTGACAACGTAATATGTGTACTGTTTATTCTTAAAGTTTTATGCGTTAACTTATTTTATCGGTTTCAAAATGTTTCATTTTATTTTGCCTATATAAAATATATTGAATAAGATAAGATCAACTGTTCCGTAATATATATTGTGTTTTGATGACCTTTTTTAGAATCACAATGTAAAATAAATCCCCCGTTCCTGTCATTCTGGTAACGCCGTGTAATGGATGCAATTCAAAGTGAGAGAGAGATCTATACATCAGAATGCATCCATGCCATTAATTTTGCCAAATACATGACATGAAACTGGCTTGAGGTGCGTCCCCCTCTATCTGGTAAAGTATGACTAAATTTTTCGGACAACTGGGTTTCGGAGAACTGGGTTTCGGAGAACTGGGTTTCGGAGAACTGGGTTTCGGAGAACTGGGTTTCGGACAACTGGGTTTCGGACAACTGGGTTTCGGACAACTGGGTTTCGGACAACTGGGTTTCGGACAACTGGGTTTCGGACAACTGGGTTTCGGACAACTGGGGTGCACCCATACTTCTTAATACCAAGATGAGTAAATTGCAAGTCACAATGACAATGCAAAATTAGATATATGCAGAACCATGCACTGGCAGATCCAGAAGCTTACAAGGGGGGGGTCACATTTCAAGTCAGACAAAAATGCGTAAAAATGTTTTGGCCCCTAAAACCAAAAGTTTGCCCCAAATTTTGAAAATTTAAAGCCTATTGTTTTGATGATTTGGCCTAAAATAAGGCCAAAAAAGGCCACTAATTGAGGTTGTAAATTTATTTTGGCTCATCCGGGGAGGGGGGGGGGCTTCCTCCTGGATCCACCAGTGTTGTATGTAATATATTATACTTGCTGGATTATGAGGCTCTAAAACATCTTTTAATGGGGTATCTTAGGGTTCTCTGCAGGTCCTAACATAGCCATTGAAGTTTTTAGGAAAAGTGATATGTTGTAAAGATTTCCTTCAAATCAAAAGTTTTAAATCAGAAGTTCTTAGATGTGAGGAAAGGCAGGCTACACGGCACATTATCCTTTTCCTAATATGGTTATGATACTTGTATATGAATAATAAATATTTTTCAGGCCAAGTACAAGAATAAAGGAGCAGAAATTGCTGAGAATGATTTTGAACAGGTAAACCTCAAATCTAAATCACAGTCTACAAATCATATCAGAACTTTGATCAACTACACAACTGAAGTTACTTAGAGGTGATTTTGAGTCTATGTACATTGTACAATATATCTAAATTTCATAAAACTTTAAAGTAAACATATTGTTTTAATAAAAAACACTGTATTTATAACCAGAAAATACTCCTGGTGAAAGATATGACTGTCTACTGCACATGGACCTTTAATTTATACAAAAATTATGTTTAGATGTCTAAACAACTGGAGGCATTCAAGTCTAATCTAGAGGAGTTTGCAAGAAACCACAAAGATGACATCAGAAAGAATCCAGAATTCAGAAGTCAGTTCCAAGAGATGTGTGCCTCTATTGGTGTAGACCCCCTAGCATGTACGTAAAACAGCATATGGGTGTTTTTTTTCAGTATAGGCATGGAGCTTTCATGAGCACCAGGAAACATATCATTTTCTCCAGTTGTTTTTGAAAAAATAGCCAATTTTTAAATAAAAATTCAAGGGAGACAATATTGAGACACATTATAATGATGTGCTCGCCCATCAATGTGATATGTGACCAAAAAGTCATTTGATTTTTCTGACTGTAACTTGAATGAAATATGAAGAATTAAAATGATGATTTAATATTTTATAAAATCATGTATTACATGGTGTCATATGTTTCCAGCTGGTAAAGGGTTCTGGTCAGAGATGCTTGGTGTTGGAGATTTCTACTACGAATTAGGTGTACAAATCATTGAAGTCTGCATGGCTACTAATCACAGAAATGGAGGTGAATTTTAAGATAACAAATATTATATAATAAATTATGATAAACTCTCACAATAAATCCATCTGTCAAGAATTTAAATAAAACAATTTGAAGAAGGTGACATTTAAACAATATTAAAGAATGTACATGAAATCCATGACTACAGGGTGTGCCAAAAAACTTTGTATATCATACCAATTTGTATATTGTACCAAAGTCAAAATTTAAATACGGATGAGTGTACAAAATAAAGATGAAGTACATATGGCTACATTTAATGGCTTGGCTACACTTAGCTGTTGTACTATATACTCTAGGGGCGAGGAGGGAAATTCTCAATAAATGGAGTATAGTTGGTTTGGCAGCATTTTCAGTTAGGGGAGAGTCTTGGATGAAATTTCCACCTAGGTGATAGCTTCACAGAGTGGTAGGAAGTTCTTTTTTTTAAGAGTTAGCCCCCTACCCCTCAAAAACACCTCACCCCGGGGAAAAAAATTGTTCACACTAAATAACCTTAGATATTTTGATGTTTGTAAGTGACATACATAGATATTATGTATATGAATCATTTGCAGTATAATTGATGCTGATTACTCCTAAAAAAATTGAATATTAGTACAAAGTGTGTTCCCCAGGGGGCAAATTCGTGACCCATTTCCTTACTATTTTGATCCTAACTTTTCAACTAGACACTGTAAGATGTTGAAAAAATTCATGTGAAGTGCCCAATAGCAGGGTTAGTAACCCTGAAAGATGCAAAGCCATGGAAGAGGTAGGAGCTGAGAAAAAAATTGTTGATTTTTCGAAAAATTTGACATTTTTGACAGCTGGATTTTGTGTATGACTATAGCTGACCCCTATAGTTCCTGGATCCATCCCTCTATGATGATATATATGGTTTTGTAGTGTGGAACTAAGATGTAAAACATAATTAAGATGGGTTTTAAGGAAGTTTAAGGTTTTAAACAAGTCCAAAATTTGAAAAATTGTAAATATAAGGTTTCAAATTTACGAATTCCAGGTAGAGCCATGGCAAACCCCTATAGTTTCTAGATCCATCCCTCTATGGTGATACTTATGGTATTGCTGTATGGAACTAATATGTAAAACACAATTTAGATGGGTTTTAAGGAAGTTTAAGGTTTTTTAACAAGTTCAAAATTTGAAAAATTGTAAATATAAGGTTTCAAATTTACGAATTTCAGGTATAGCCATGGCTGACCCTTATGGTTTTTACATCCATACCTCTATGATTAAATATACAGTTTTAGAGTGGGGGACTAAGATTTAACATACCCAAAATGAATTTTAAAAAAGTTTAAGGTTTTAAACAAGTCAAAAATTTGAAGAATTGTAAATGTAAGTTTTCAAATTTATGAATTTCAGGATAGCCAAAGATGACCCTTATGATTTTTTTTACATCTATACCTCAGTGATGAGATATATATTTTTAGAGTATTTAACTAAAATGTAAAAGATGCATAAGATGAGTTTGAAGGAAGTTCAAGGTTTTAAACAAGTGCAAAATTTAAAAAATTGATCTCGAAAATTGGTCTCAAATTCACGTTATTCAGGTACAGCCTTGAATGAGCCCTGATAATCAAAGGTTATGAGCATAATAGTAACAACTGTGATATCATAGCTTAGAGACCAGGTGTAGAATATATACCTGTTGCAGCAGTTAGTCTGCTGCATATAGATGGAGTGAAAAGTCATGAACTACAGTAAAATCTTTCTAATCTGAATGCTACTAGATATAGTATTTGGACCAGCTAAAAGCGTTCAAATTAGAAGTGTTTGAATTTTGAGGTTTTTACATCTGCAATATTCTGGATTTTGAAGAAATATGAATGCATTCTCAATGAAAAATATTAATAATATTTATACTGACCACCCTAAAAGCTTAATAGCATTCCAAAATCCAATTCAAAAGTTTTGATATCATAACAATTCAGTGTTAAACTGACAATATTCGAGCAATTTTGTAAGAAATATGTGATATTTGGTAAAAAAAAGTTCAAGTTAAACAGGTTGATTTTTCAAATATGAGTGTTCACTGTTCAAATTAAGAGGTGTTCAGATTTCAATTTTTAAACATAGGAGTCAATGGGAGGAAGGAAAAATTGAACTTGGGAAAAGTGTTCAGATTGGTTGGTTTTCAGATAAGTCAGGTGTTGGGATGATTAATGGGTGTTCACAATAGTCAGATGTTGGGATATACAGGTTTCACTGCTGATATATCATTTATACAAGATGATGAACTAGAACTACTGTACTAGGTGCCTTTGATAATTTTTACCACAATGTTATACTATGTCAGGAAAAGAAAGCACCCATGACACTGTGCTTGTACAACTTGAAAATCAACAACACTTTAACATTTGATAAAGGTGTCTACCAAATGAGTAATCCACATAAATTCAAATACAAGCACTTGGCATGCTATTCCCTATGATCATTAGTTTCATTAGTTTCTTTTGAATCTAAAATTGACCTTGGGTTTATGAGAGTAGTAAATTGGAATGCAGTTATATGGAATATTGAATTGGCTGGAATTGGACACACCTTGCCTAGAAATGTGTGAGTAAACTATGATTTTATATGGATACAAACAGGTCGTTTGACAATGATCATCTATCTTATCCTGTAAAATCAGAACTTAAAAAGAGGTTTGAAATGGAGATCGATGAAACCATACCACAAATTGATAAAACGTTCGTGATTGATGCAATGGCTATGACAAAGGGAAAATGAAGATTAACTTATATGTTGAAATTTAGAGAGTTTTGGAAAGCTATATTTGACTACTCCATCAAATCTAGTAAAGGAGCCCAAAGAATAGATTTCATATTAGACTCCTAGCTAGTTGTCTCCATCAGTATTTAGGATTCTGAAAGAATGCGAAGAATGGATGCTTCCCCTATTGAACTTTAATCCATAGAAGAAATTACACCATTACCTAAAAATATGAATACGTTTGTCTAAGTAATATAAGACAAATTTTCAAAGATTACAAAGAAATTCAATAAAGCAGCATTCTAAAAGTGTGCCAAATGTCAAGATTGTTTTAAGTGGAACTATTGGAGAGAACTCAAATATCTGTGAAAATGATAACTGAAATCTCCTGTTAAATTCAACTCCTGAAGAGGCTGATTTTAAAATTATTCACTCTGTTTTACATTCAGCAGAACATGTGGGACTGCAGTAATTTGCATCAAATGACACTGATATTATAATTTTATGACTATCATTTCAATAAATGAAAAAAATTCTTCAACTATGCTAGAAAATGTCATCTGCAAAGTCAGTATGTAAACATTTTCTACAATGTCTGTTTGTTTGAAACATATTGATCATATCACCATATATACTTTTTTGATCTACATGAAGATTTTAATGTGACAAGACCCTTTTAACCTAGAGTTCCTTATATCATTAAACTTACAGAAGTTTCTAGGCCCGGGCAGGGGGGGGGGGGGGGGGTATGATCCTTATAATCCTTATTTTCCCAAATAATTACTGTTGCCTGATGACAAATTGTTTTATTGGGAGTGTAGTGATTATAATTTGATAATTCATAACAACATTTTGTATTATGAGATGATCATTGCTTAATTACAGAAGGGGCATAACAAAATATAGAGAAAACATGTTTCTTTTAATTAACCATGTCTTTATGTATTTTGATAATGCAGAACATTACATCGAACATTTTGATGTGAAAAAGTAAAAATGCTATATCACATAATAAATATCGTCAAATAATAATTCATAATTAATTAGTTATAATCCATTTAATCAATCAATTACTACACTGTATACGATATCCCTAGGAGCAGTTACACTTACTGGGGGATTTATTAACCTCTCACCCCCTTAGGAACTCAAGGGTTAAGTCCTCAACTCTAATGATTTTTCTTTTAACAATACATGTAACATGGATCAAACCTGACCACAATATTTTCAACATCTAATTTCTAAGCTAATTCATACATTCAAAAAGAGGGACATCCAGGGCTATACCTGAAATCGTAAAGGAGGACTGAAAGTATCGCAACAGATTTCAGCAATCATATGTTGGATTTTGGCTATTTTCTGAGGATTTGAGGAGGTGCATATGTTAGGCCAATGCATTTCCTCCAGGAAAAGCACCCATAGAGATGATAAAATAATTTCTATTTTGAGACAGGGAAGGTGCAAACAACCCACCCACATGCATAAATATATATGTGTATATGTATAAATATATGTGTTTTTACATACAGTTAACCCCTTTAAATGAAAAATACATTCCATCAGGGATTTTAAAGATATCAAATATGGGTGACCAAAATTAAGCTGAAAGCAATGGATCACATGAGTTTTCCCTATGGGAAAATAACAGGATAATATTGTTTTCCGCTTTATCTAAAACGCAACATATTGATGCAACAAAAATTTAAAAACCATAGGTGAACAGGGTTGAAAATCAGGACGACATTTTCCAAAAATCATATGGGTGGATTGTTTTCACCTTCGCTGTCTCAAATTCCAAACTATTTTATCATCTCTAAGAGTTCTTTTCCCGTAGGTAATGCAATGGCCTATCATATGCACCTGCTTAAATCCTCAGAAAACAGACAAAATCCAACATATGACTGTCTGAAATCTGTTGCGATACTTTCTGTGCTCCTTTGAGACCTGATATTTCTCAATTTTTCAAATATTGCACTTGTTAAAATTCTTAAACTTCCTTAAAATTCATCTTCGGTATGTTTTACATCTTAGTTTCACACTCTAAAAGTATATGTTTCATCATAGAAGTATTGATGAAAAAGCCATAAAGGTCATCCATGGCTATACCTAAAATTCGTAAATTTGAAACCTTATATTTACAATTTTTCAAATTTTGGACTTGTTTTAAATCATTAACTTCCTTAAAACCCATCTAAATTATGTTTTACATCTTTAGTTCCATACTACAAAACCATAAATATCATCAAAGAGGGATGGATCTAGAAACTATAGGGGTCAGCCATGGCTATAGCTGGAATTCGTAAATTTGAAACCTTACATTTACAATTTTTCGAATTTTGGACTTGTTTAAAACCTATAACTTCCTTAAAACCCATCTAATTTATGTTTTACATTTTAGTTTCACACTAAGAAAGCATAAATATCATCAAAGATGGATGGATCTAGAAACTATAGGGGTCAGCCATGGCTATACCTGGAATTCGTAAATTTGAAACCTTATATTTACAATTTTTCAAATTTTGGACTTGTTTAAAACCTATAACTTCCTTAAAACCCATCTTATTTATGTTTTACATCTTAGTTTCACACTATGAAAGCATAAATATCATCAAAGATGGATGGATCTAGAAACTATAGGGGTCAGCCATAGCTCTACCTGGAATTCGTAAATTTGAAACCTTATATTTACAATTTTTCTAATTTTGGACTTGTTTAAAACCTTTAACTTCCTTAAAACCCATCTAAATTATGTTTTACATCTTAGTTCCACACTATAAAACCATAAATATCATCATAGAGGGATGGTTCTAGAAACTATAGGGGTCAGCTATAGTCATACACAAAATCCAGTTGTCAAAAATGTCAAATTTTTCGAAAAATCAACAATTTTTTTCTCAGCTCCTACTTCTTCCATGGCTTTGCATCTTTCAGGGTTACTAACCCTGCTATTGGGCACTTCACATGAATTTTTTCAACCTCTTACAGTGTCTAATTGAAAAGTTAGAATCAAAACAGTAAGAAAATGAGTCACGAATTTGCCCCCTGGGTACACACTTTGTACTGATATTCAAATTCTTTAGGAGTAATCAGCATCAATTATACTGCAAATTATTCATATATATAATATCTATGTATGTCACTTACAAACATCAAAATATCTAAGGTTATTTAGTGTGAACAATTTTTTCCCCGGGGTGGGGTGTTTTTGGGGGGGTGGGGGGCTAACTCCTAAAAAAAAGAACTTCCTACCACTCTGCGAAGCTATCACCTAGGTGGAAATTTCATCCAAGACTCTCCCCTAACTGAAAATACTGCCAAACCAACTATACACCATTTATTGAGAATTTTCCTCCTCGCCCCTTGAGTAATAATGCAATTATGTGTTTTGTTGTACTATGCTTCATTGTCTCTTGTTGTACCATTGCTGTGCTGCAATAATATTCTTCATTGCACTATACTGTTTTGCAATATAGCATATTGCACTATGCTGTATTGCAATATGCTATATTGCACTATGCTGTATTGCAATATGCTATATTGCACTATGCTGTATTGCAATATGCTATATTGCAATATGTTGTGTTGCAATTTACTACATTGCACTAGTATTGCAGTATACTATATTGCACTATGCTGTGCTGAAACATGCTACTTTGCACTATGCTATATTGCATTATGTTGTGTTGGAACATGCTACATTGCACTGTGCTGTGCTGCAACATGCTACTTTGCACTATTGCACTATGTTGTGTTGGAACATGCTATATTGCACTGTGCTATATTGCACTATGTTGTGTTGGAACATGCTATATTGCACTGTGCTATATTACACTATGTTGTGTTGGAACATGCTATATTGCACTGTGCTATATTACACTATGTTGTGTTGGAACATGCTATATTGCACTGTGCTATATTACACTATGTTGCGTTGGAACATGCTATATTGCACTGTGCTATATTACACTATGTTGTGTTGGAACATGCTTTATTGCACTGTGCTATATTGCACTATGTTGTGTTGGAACATGCTATATTGCACTGTGCTATATTACACTATGCTGCGTTGGAACATGCTATATTGCACTGTTCTATATTACACTATGTTGCGTTGGAACATGCTATATTGCACTGTGCTATATTACACTATGTTGTGTTGGAACATGCTATATTGCACTGTGCTATATTGCACTATGTTTTGTTGGAACATGCTATATTGCACTGTGCTATATTACACTATGTTGCGTTGGAACATGCTATATTGCACTGTGCTATATTACACTATGTTGCGTTGGAACATGCTATATTGCACTGTGCTATATTACACTATGTTGCGTTGGAACATGCTATATTGCACTGTGCTATATTGCACTATGTTTTGTTGGAACATGCTATATTGCACTGTGCTATATTACACTATGTTGCGTTGGAACATGCTATATTGCACTGTGCTATATTACACTATGTTGCGTTGGAACATGCTATATTGCACTGTGCTATATTACACTATGTTGTGTTGGAACATGCTATATTGCACTGTGCTATATTGCACTATGTTTTGTTGGAACATGCTATATTGCACTGTGCTATATTACACTATGTTGCGTTGGAACATGCTATATTGCACTGTGCTATATTACACTATGTTGCGTTGGAACATGCTATATTGCACTGTGCTATATTACACTATGTTGTGTTGGAACATGCTATATTGCACTGTGCTATACTACACTATGTTGTGTTGGAACATGCTATATTACACTATGTTGTGTTGGAACATGCTATATTGCACTGTGCTTTATTACACTATGTTGCGTTGGAACATGCTACATTGCACTGTGCTATGTTACACTATGTTGCGTTGGAACATGCTATATTGCACTGTGCTATATTGCACTATGTTGTGTTGGAACATGCTATATTGCACTGTGCTATATTACACTATGTTGCGTTGGAACATGCTATATTGCACTGTGCTATATTACACTATGTTGTGTTGGAACATGCTATATTGCACTGTGCTATATTGCACTATGTTTTGTTGGAACATGCTATATTGCACTGTTCTATATTACACTATGTTGCGTTGGAACATGCTATATTGCACTGTGCTATATTACACTATGTTGCGTTGGAACATGCTATATTGCACTGTGCTATATTACACTATGTTGTGTTGGAACATGCTATATTGCACTGTGCTATGTTACACTATGTTGCGTTGGAACATGCTATATTGCACTGTGCTATATTACACTATGATGTGTTGGAACATGCTATATTGCACTGTGCTATACTACACTATGTTGTGTTGGAACATGCTATATTACACTATGTTGTGTTGGAACATGCTATATTGCACTGTGCTTTATTACACTATGTTGCGTTGGAACATGCTACATTGCACTGTGCTATGTTACACTATGTTGCGTTGGAACATGCTATATTGCACTGTGCTATATTACACTATGATGTGTTGGAACATGCTATATTGCACTGTGCTATATTACACTATGTTGTGTTGGAACATGCTATATTGCACTGTGCTATGTTACACTATGTTGCGTTGGAACATGCTATATTGCACTGTGCTATATTACACTATGATGTGTTGGAACATGCTATATTGCACTGTGCTATACTACACTATGTTGTGTTGGAACATGCTATATTACACTATGTTGTGTTGGAACATGCTATATTGCACTGTGCTTTATTACACTATGTTGCGTTGGAACATGCTACATTGCACTGTGCTATGTTACACTATGTTGCGTTGGAACATGCTATATTGCACTGTGCTATATTACACTATGTTGTGTTGGAACATGCTATATTGCACTGTGCTATATTACACTATGTTGTGTTGGAACATGCTATATTACACTATGTTGCGTTGGAACATGCTACATTGCACTGTGCTATATTACACTATGTTGTGTTGGAACATGCTACATTGCACTGTGCTATATTACACTATGTTGCGTTGGAACATGCTATATTGCACTGTGCTATATTACACTATGTTGTGTTGGAACATGCTATATTGCACTGTGCTATATTACACTATGTTGTGTTGGAACATGCTATATTACACTATGTTGCGTTGGAACATGCTACATTGCACTGTGCTATATTACACTATGTTGTGTTGGAACATGCTACATTGCACTGTGCTATATTACACTATGTTGTGTTGGAACATGCTATATTGCACTGTGCTATACTTCACTATGTTGCGTTGGAACATGCTATATTACACTGTGCTATATTACACTATGTTGTGTTGGAACATGCTATATTGCACTGTGCTATATTACACTATGTTGTGTTGGAACATGCTATATTACACTATGTTGCGTTGGAACATGCTACATTGCACTGTGCTATATTACATCTATGTTGTGTTGGAACATGCTATATTGCACTGTGCTATACTTCACTATGTTGCGTTGGAACATGCTACATTGCACTGTGCTATATTACACTATGTTGTGTTGGAACATGCTATATTGCACTGTGCTATATTACACTATGTTGCGTTGGAACATGCTATATTGCACTGTGCTATATTACACTATGTTGCGTTGGAACATGCTACATTGCACTGTGCTATATTACACTATGTTGTGTTGGAACATGCTATATTGCACTGTGCTATACTTCACTATGTTGCGTTGGAACATGCTACATTGCACTGTGCTATATTACACTATGTTGTGTTGGAACATGCTATATTGCACTGTGGTATATTACACTATGTTGTGTTGGAACATGCTACATTGCACTGTGCTATATTACACTATGTTGTGTTGGAACATGCTATATTGCACTGTGCTATACTACACTATGTTGTGTTGGAACATGCTACATTGCACTGTGCTATATTACACTATGTTGTGTTGGAACATGCTATATTGCACTGTGCTATATTACACTATGTTGTGTTGGAACATGCTATATTGCACTGTGCTATACTACACTATGTTGTGTTGGAACATGCTATATTACACTATGTTGCGTTGGAACATGCTATATTGCACTGTGCTATATTACACTATGTTGCGTTGGAACATGGTACATTGCACTGTGCTATATTACACTATGTTGTGTTGGAACATGCTATATTACACTATGTTGCGTTGGAACATGCTACATTGCACTGTGCTGCATTACACATGCCTGATGTCAAGGAAATACCTGATGTATTCTAGGTTTGATGACGCTGGATGATCTGAGAGAAACTTTGATAAGATCTAGTGGGAGAAGTAGACAGGATGTTAGTTCGTAAGTTATTAATTAATTCTTTAGAGATCCCATAAAGTGGAAAATATGTTCAAAACAATAAGTTTATTCACATCCCATATATAGTGAGAGTTCTCCTTTAAAATACATGCTTTAATAATAATAATTTAAGACTTTAAGACTTCTATATACAGTGTTTTTAGTAAACATTCAGATCAAAGAATATTAATTGCAAACTATAAATCAAACTTAGTTTTGATGGAGAAAAATGCTTTTATATCAATTGTAGAGATGATCTGTTACGTGCTATTAAGAAGCTAAAGGTGTTGGGGAATGGATTTTCTGTGATTCCTATGGGACCAGGACGCTATATGGTACAGAGTGTCCCTGGAGAGCTCAGTATGGATCATACAACTGTCATACAGCAAGCTGAGGCAAGTCTGTACAGTCATATAATCTTGCAGGCAGTGTAACATCATTGTACTGTTCAATTAAAGGTTGTTCCTGTTTTACTAAAATATCCATTTTAGAATTACATATAAGAACATGGATCCAAACAAAAGATGGAAACACAAACTACAAAAACTGAATATTATCAACCATCATGATACATGCACCCCGTATCCACGCCCCTTGTCCTAAATTTCTAAAGAGGCCCAGGCAACTAGTAGATCAGAGGGGATCTGATAAACCAGAATGGGTATCAACTGAGAAAGCCAATCTACCAAATTTAGCATCCACCTTTTATAAATGCCACATTCACAAATATCAAGGAATATTGAGAAATGATTGATAATTGAGAAATTTTATATTGATTGAGGTAATGAGGTATGTCATTAAAAATGCAGCTGGACCAATACAATCATTAGACGATTGAAAACATAATATCTCATAAAAGTCTGTCTGTATGATTTCAGAAAACTGGATTTGTTACAATGAAAATGCTGAAAGAAAATCTAAAGTGGGAGGATGAGCGAAGTCACATGGCTTTGGTATGTACACCCCCTCTAATACCCACATTTGACATTTAGGCCTAGGACTGATTTATCTAAAACACAAAGCTATTTTGGCTGTTCATTTGCATGAATGATGAACTTTGCTACAACACTACCGTTTTTTTTCTGTTAAGTCATAGAACAGTAGAACCATATATGCATAAAGCAGTCCTGGAGCCAAGATTTGCTCCAAAACTGCTGGAACTTTGGATTTTAATTTTAAATTACATGTACTTTCTTTTTTTCACACTCCTGACTCCTATATTTCTAGGACTACCTGCTTAAGGAGGGCCAGGCCTGGGTGGACAACCAAGACAAGTCAGGAATGACACTATACTGGCTACCTGGACTCTTCAGTGACACAAATGCAGCAACCTGACCATTCAATGGATTGAACTTATATATATTAAGTGGATTGACTGTGTTGATATCACCAGTTTTGATGAAGCTTATGGATAATGTCAGGGTTGAAACAGATTTCAGGTTGAAACTGATGTCAAGCCTGATGTAGGTAATCAAGTAGGCACAATTGGTGTCAACTCTGAAGAATCCTGTGATGGGAATCTGAACAATTGAGGCTTCCGAAGTGGTGAATACATGTAATCATTTCAAGCTGACCCAGATGGGGTTTATATGTCGTCGCGTGAGAATAACTTTGTACTAACTGCCATTTTCAAAAAATTGAGATAGACACGGAATTTTACTATTTGAAACTCAGGCTTTCATCTCAGATACATGCCCCATCTCAATTCCCTCTCATTAAGCTAGAATTCAGTGTGAAATTGTACCATCTCCAGACAAACAGCTTATTTCTAATTTCAAATTGTCATATCTGATATCAACTGTTTCAACCAATCAACTCTCTAAGAATTGGTCATGTGACTTGCAAAACTTTGAGTTATAACAATCTTATATTAAAACGAAGTATGCCAATATGCATGTTATTGTATCTAGAATGAAATAATGTTTTGTAACACAATACCATGCCAGTTTGCATGTCTGGCCTTTCATGTTTTAGTTTTAGAACTATTACAAGTAGATCAAAAAAATAAAATGATACAGTATGTGTAATCACATGCATATTCAAATTATATGCCCTCAATTACTCTTTGTATTATGGATGCTCATTGGATTATTCATGGCCACATGATATGAAATAGAATTATTACTTTCCTCGAAAACCTAAATCCTTGCTACCAGGGAAGATGAAAAGTACAAATGACCAGTTAATTAGATCATGTGAGCAGTCAAAAATACCCTTTATCTTCCCTGCTACCAGGTCTTATAGGGGTTTGAATGGCCAAATGCAATAGAAATGCATATACGAAGTTGTCATCATTAAATGTTGAAAATGAAAGACTACTTATTTGTTTCTTCAAACAGAGTACATAATAATAGGTTAAATACTAGATATAGTAATCAAAACAAATAGTAACTGTCATATTTTGCACTACATTGCTCAAAGGCAATCACTGTCTGTATACTATTGAAATCTCTTTCAAAATGATGTTTTATAGTTTGTGGAAAAAAGCTAAATCTATTTAAACTAGCTTCAACTTTTACTGACCATACACTATATCAATAAGGAGTTATCTTTATGTTAGTATAGTCCCTTAAAACACTTATTTTATTTTCTCTTCATCTATGATTTACTTTGCGCTTTTCACTGAACATCTGGGATCTTTTTAGTTATTTTATTACTAGTATGTTTTTCAGATTTGTCCTTTCTTTTGCATTTTTGGGATCATTGTTTTTAGATCATCTACATTTTATTTTGGAAAAGTAACAAATTGGTTCAATTTCTTTACAAAGAGCCACTCTTAGTCTCCACTTCTACAATTGCTTCAATTCCCAATTGTACTCCACAGAGTAGCAAACAACAGAAAATGAATGGATAATGATAGCTGCATCCCAATGAACAAAATGTGATTACCTAAATCGAGGTTTCATCACTTTCATTAATCTAAAATGAATTAGAAATTATTTTTTTATTTTCAAATTTCTTCCATGTGCATGTAATAAAAATTGGTTATGTCTTAGGCCCTAAGGATAATTATTGTTATTACTGGGAGGTTTAGGCTACAGGGTTTATACCGAGGGAAATATGTGGGGGACCATATTGGCATCATTGGTTTCAATGCATTGTACTTCTGCCTTAGTTTCAAAGGCAATAAATTCTTTTTGAAGGGTGTCCTGAGATTCCAAAATTAAGAAATAGTTGTACTTATTTGAGAAATTGATTTTAAAGTTTTATAAATTGAATTTTCTTTATTTTATTAAATAATATTCTTTGGTTTTTGAAGATTTTTTTACAAAGCAAAATATTATTTTTCATTCTAGATACAATAACATGCATATTGGCATACTTTGTTTTAATATAAGATTGTTATAACTCCTAGTTTTGCAAGTCACATGACCAATTCTTAGAGAGTTGATTGGTTGAAACAGTTGATATCAGATATGACAATTTGAAATTAGAAATAAGCTGTTATTCCGGTGGGAAATTGTATCAACTCCATTTCCATAGTTTTAAAAAAGGATCTTGTAAATTGTTTCAAGGTATGATATTTCATATAAGATATCTCTAGGGTGAGACCAGGTTACATACAAAAAATCAAGTTTCACATAGCAATACTTAGTAAGATACAGACCTCTAAACTTTCAAACCTTGATTTCTCAGTTCCGTAAAAATGTGAGATAGTACAAAGTTATTCTCATGCGACGATGTTTGCATGCTACACGTTTTAACCTTCATGTACTTTTTATTTTTGAAATATACATGTGAGCAACTGTAAAATTAGTGCAATAAATAAGATGTAAAATTCCCCTAGTTTTTCATCTTTAAGTGTGGACTTAGCCATATTCTTTCCCATCTCAATCTTATGCTTATTGCCACAAGAAGGCTTTTTAAATATAATTATAATTGGATTTTATTGATCAGAAGAAGGTGTTTTTAGCTTGTTCTAGTTGTTTATGTCACAACCACATTTATGATAACATATTGTTAGTCTCCCAACTTTTTTTGAAAATGGTGTCTTACAGTCGCCATCTGCTGAGACTAACATGAATTTTTATGATGGTCTCAGGCATCTGTAACTAATTTTACAACTTCTAATGACCATTTGCATGTGGTAACATTTTGACATGTTAGTGTTTTGTCTCGTGAATGGATGATTTTCTAAAAATAGTGATTGCATTGTACACTGTAAAGACCACCTGGATAGACTACGAGATTTTGTGAGAATCTGTGATAGTCTTACATGTCTTAGACTCAGATCCAAGCATCAATACCATGTCACCATTTGGAACTCGAGACTGGCTGAACTGAAGTCTGTGCAAAATCTGCATGTACATTTTATGTCTTGTGTTTTGTGAAGAGTAATCAGTGATTCCTCAGTTTCACGAGAGCTACAGTATGGTGTTTCTTATCAACTTGAGGTCCTCACTTCATGTATTGTATTCATGTATTGGCACATGAGTCCCAGTTTGAAGATTCTTAGATATAATGATCTGTTGCTATGTTGTTGATGTTTATAAACCAGCGATGTCACAAGTAAATCTCATCTTGCATGTGCATGTGACTTTTTAGGATGAAAGATGGCAATATCTTGCATGGGATAAAGGTGTCTGTATCTTTGTTAGTAATTTTTTATGTCACCACCACAAGTGGTGTTAGGCGGTTGGCATATTTGGCATCTGTAACAAATGTGAGGTGGTGACATTTTGCATGCCTATATGATAATATACTGAAACAGATAGAATAACAAACACAGAGTAATTATATTTTGGACAATTGCAGCATTTTATTCGTGCATTTTGTTTCATTTATATATACAATTGATAATGCATATTACAATGCAAGTAAAGGATTCATACAGTATTATCATACAATTCAACCATACAATGTACAGTTGAATGTCATCATACAATATTCATACACATATACAATAATATGTACACTGTAGTGCATTACACAACTTACAATGAGTATATCCAAAATAAAAAAGTGAGAAACATGCTTTGCATATGAAATAAATATTTAATACACAATACATAAAGATGTGTAGATTACATACTTTATATGCTGGACTACACTAACAGCAAATGCTTTGTGATATAGTAATACTTAATCCTGTTAATCGAGGAAAAAAATATTGAGGCATAATATGAAGGAGCATGATATGTGAATTGTAATGTTTCTGTTATAAAATATAATATCTACATCTTGATTATGGTATAGAAATTCTTCATAGAAAAATGGCACCATTCATATTTGGTGGGAACAAATGGTGATTCCTTACATTTTTAAAAATTAGTATACGCCAAGTTGCAAACTATCAAATTGCAAAAGTAGGAAAACAAATATATCATGGAACCAATATTATATTAGTACAATGAGATAACTGAATATTATCAATACAAATAGCTCATCATTAAATTATGTGTGACACTGCAACATTTTGGCTGAAGTAAACTTGTCCAACTTTTTCTGATTTTATAGCGTCCAAAAAAACATGAACAAGGCACAGACGTGAACAATATCGTACCTAAAACACAGCAGTGTGACAGTGAAGAATTTAGGACGGAAAATCCAAAATGGCCACCTTTAAATTTACCCAGAATGCTCAAAAACTAATCAGTTCTTAACTTTGATACGTAGAAACATCCCTGAAAATTTCAGATGAATCCGTCAAATGGTTTGGCTGGAAACCTGTAGACAAGTCTTGAAAGTGAAGATTTTAGGACGGAAAATCCAAAATGGCCACCTTAAAATTTACCCAGAATGCCCAAAAACTAATCAGTTCTTAACTTTGATACGTAGAAACATTCCTGAAAATTTCAGATGAATCTGTCGAATGGTTTGGCTGGAAACCTGTAGACAAGCTGAAAAGTGAGACGCCGCCCGCCCGCCCGTCAAGCTGACGACAATATCGTACCTTTTATTAGGTACGATAAAAACTTGGAATCTGAAGCTGAAACTGACTCTGATTTTTCTTTAACATCAATTGAGACATGCATCATCCGATTTTGGTACACTAAAAATGATACAAACTTGTATATTGTAAAAAATGTGATGTCTTAATCACAAAGCCTATTTCTCCAAACCAAAAGTAAGAACTTGGAACAATTACCAGTATGGACCCCCCCCCCATAAAATGGATATATGAGCGTTGATTCAGACATTAGCCAGTTTTCATGTGTCTGAAAAGTGTTGACGGATGAAAGGTAATATGGACAGATGGTAGAATGGGGAATCAACTTCGATCATAGATACACTACAGGTTCCCATTCTGTTCACTAACATACAGTGTGCTATATACTATACTAGTATCACATTCACAAAGTTTGACAATATGTACAAATATACAATTTGTCATGCATTGTAGGGCCTTGAATGTACATATTTTACAATAAGAATAATATAACTGGTGATATGTGAATGAGTATATCAGATACACACAAAAGTAAAACACAATATACAGAGTGAACCATTGTTTGATCTTATTATCCCACCACACAAAAATCACTTCATAAAAAAGTGTAACTATGATAGAAGAATCAATATAGTTGGAATGTTTAATTGTTTTCCATATTTATTTCATTTTTCCTCAAAGAAAATCAGTGTTCATCCGGGTCTTACATCTTTTTTCGCTCTTCAATGAATCTTTTGACATTTCCTTTTTGATACCTTCATTGGAATCCTTAAGAACTTTTTGTCCAATTCTGGAAGTTCAACAATGCTGTTATACAAGTACAACTAGATATAAAGCACTTATGGTGGGATAAAGTTTACATATTCTACTGCCTATATTGGATAAGATGTTTACTACAATGCATTATTTAGTACAACATGTGCTTATTGTAATACAATGAATTAACAATACAATATGTCTCATCTGACATTGACATTACCTCAATGTTATCTCTAATATTGACCCACATCTCCATGTACATTGTCTCCAATATTTTATATTTACAGTTCATTTTGAATGCACATTGAATAAAACAATTGACATTTATGTACAATATCTACTGTATTTTACATTACATTTTGAATGTACATTAAATAAGACGACACTTTTGTTTGCCATATTTTAAATGTAGTAGCTCCTTGCTCATGAAATGACATGCAAATATGGCAATGGTAATACATGTGCTATACCACTTCTACATTTCAATTATAGTGAGATCGTTTGTACATACAGACTAGCAAGGAGTAGTTTTGACTTCATACCTCAAGGGCTAATAGCTTGAATTCTTACCCTAAATAACCCTTAAATATTTTTAATTTATAATGATATGTAATTTACACTTCATGAATGATTTATTTCAAGTTGTATATGCAGAAAGTTCATGTCCAAGTCAATTCGTTACAAAACCTACATATCACTAATTAAAATATTGTAGAGTTATTTAAAATGAGAATTACAGATATCAGTCCTTTAATTATGAACTCTAAACCACTTCAACAAATATTCTACTGTGACTTCTAAAATTTGTTTTTTTCTGTTACATTGCAAGACTAAATGCAAATAAAGAATTTTTTCAATGTTTCAAAAATCATGTTTCTAGATTATAAGTTTAAACAATGATCAAGATTCTATTTAATACTAGTAAAGCAGTGAACACTTCTAACGGGTAGTTTTAGTATTAATTGTGCCATTTAATGATGTATTGCACTCACAAAGTAAAATAAACCACTTTCCTATTCAGCTTGTGCATATAGGCAACTAAAAGGATAACAATTTCAATATCCCTATTCACCCAAACCCAAGTATCACATGAGCCTTAAAAGTTCATGTCGCTATGTCTGATTCTTCTGATTTCTATCCACTTTTGGTCCATTTTGACAGATCTAAAGCTTGGCACTTTCTACACTGCATATATTTTACATTGCAAGTTTTCTAGTCTTGAGAATCAGTCAGCTTTCTCCACAAGTCTGCCTTTACCTTGCTATCCACCTCTATCCAGCTTACAACATTCTCATCCTGACTAGTCAACTTTCTCCAAAACAGAGGGGAAATGCACCACTTGCACTTGGTGGCTGTATCCACAGACTACAACAGCATTGCCAATCACCTCTATCCAACGTACAAATACACTCGAGTCCTCACTATTTAAGTTCACTGTCCTCAAAACTTCACCTTTTGACACATCCCATAGTAATATACAGCCCTGGAATGAACAATCAGTTACATTGAAAATATCATGCACTTCTATCAGGGTTTATAATAATTGAAACTCTCATTTCTATAAACGTTGGTTGCAGAAAATAAACCTAGAAATTGACAGGCCTTTAATTTTGGAATTGTCATCTTATTTTCCAATGCTACCAGAGTGGGACCAGCCGACTTATTTGACACCTCTATCTGTATATAGATTTGTGTATGTATGTTCAACTCACCTGTCCACCTGTGACAAGGAGGTTACTGGTCATCATAGCAACTGCATTACAACAACCAGCATCCTAGAACAACAAACAATGAGCTAAAATGAGACAAATGTGAACACAATTTCATTTAATTTTTTTCTAGGCTTCATCTACTATGAGCAAAATCTTATAAAAAGTGGAACTGACTCGGCCAAAGAGTTACAGGAATATCAAACTGTTAAAATAAAGATTTATTCACACAATTCTGTTCAAACAGGTTAAAATTCAAGATTCTGCAGATTTAGGATACCTCTGTGGGATTTAAAAAACTGGGAGGAGTGCTCAATGCATAACTGAACCTACCAACTGTAAACAGTACATGAGAAGACCTTTACATCTCTCCCAGATACAGAGCCTATCATCCTGGCCTGAGCTAATCACATAGACAGGTGTGCAGCTTATAGAATTCACGGTGGTGCTATGGGCATTCAACTTGTGTACACAGGCTCCTGTGAGGAGATCCCATAGCCTTACACAGCCATCATTTGAACCACTCGCAGCAGCCAACGGAGCTCCCTGTAATGTGCAGTTGCATTTTATTTATTTTTATTCTACATGCCCTGATCCCTCTATTAAGATATTTTCCTCTATGTACCTTACTGTATATATTGTATTAACCTTTGATATGACATGTATTTATCTTACAGGATACCTGGATCCAATTTAGTAGGGGTGAGACGAGTCGAAAAAATCCGATTCGAGTCGAATCCGATTCGAGTCAGAAAATAGCGATTCGAGTTTCGAATCCGTTTCGAGTCAGATAAAGTGCGAACAACATCGCTTTTGACCGTTCGTATTTTTAATGCGTCAATGGTGGAAAGCCGGAAATATAAACAAACACAATTCATCGTAAGTTTCATTCTGATTTTATTACATATATTCTTTCATTTATGTGTACATACAATATAATAATTTAATACAAGCATATCCAAGTCATTGAAACGTATATATTCAACGCAATATCGAGTAAAAACATGCATATTGACAGTATTTTTCTGAAATTTTTTTATTTTTTCGAATTTTTTCTCAACTCGAAAATGATTCGATTCATCAACTTCGACTCGATTCGACTCGACTCGAAGCCCCAAACCCGCGAGTCCTCGACTCATCGGGTTGTCGTCTCACCCCTACAATTTAGGGTCAATAAGAGTTGTACTCTGTTGCAATTAGGTAGGCTTAATTAATCATGTCACTCTATGATTACTGAATCGATCAGAAACTTCTTTTTTTCTAAATATTGAAGTGTTTTTGAAAAAATTCACATCAAAAAATAATTTGCTTTTGAGTTTACTTTATTGATATTTGTATTTGAAGAATTTACTGCGAGTATTTCGTAGTTGAATATGATTGAATTTAGACTCACCTTGTCAAGATAGAGGGCAGTGACACTGCTACCATGACCATGTAGTGTGTACAAGCACTGAGAGTCCTCTAGCCGAAAAACCTGTAAAAGTACATAAATGCATTTTTATTTCATAAGTCATTCCAATAGTGGTGGTCTGATAAGGGAGGTTTTCAGATATACAGGTTTTACTGTATTCTACCCACCTTGAGTGTATGGTCCTCACTGGCAGTAACCACACGTCCACCCTCAGACTGCAGGATGTTGATGGGTCTCTGATGGGCTCTGGTGGCAGTGATCAGATTACAATGTATCACATCATCCCAACACTTCAACTCAGCCCCAGACAAATGCAAACTGTGGTGTCTCTGGTGACCTAAAATACAACACATTTGGTGAATCATCCCTTACTATACTATATATTTAATGATGTATTTTCCCCAATGGAAACTCACCATTGAAAGAAAGGCACACTACATTTTCTCAAGTCAGCACCTTAGAAATTGGAGTGCCAATCCACAGACTATAATATACACACATAATATAGTATAATACACATAATATTCCTTGACAACATATCTGTGCATATATTTACCTCTGTTATGTAACTTTGGGGGTTGCGATGCTGATGCTGCCATAGTAACCACAGGAGATTTTTGGAACGTTTCAAGTTCAAGGAAGTCTATTCCTCCATTCAGTCTAGCAACTATCACTCTGAAATTCAAAGATTTAAAAATAAGAATTTGGATTTTTAGGAGAGGTTTTTCAATTTTCAAGTTATGGAATAAAACTATGTCAAACAGTAATACTCCATGTTCTTTATGTTTATCTGAGACCTCTATTGCAGAGGTGTTCAGATATACTGTACGTAACATTGTCTGGAAGAAAATCAAAATGACTGCACTGGTGATGAAAATAATTGGATATTTTTTATGATTGTACTGTTTAAGCATTTTAAAGGTCTAAGTTACTATTAACCATGTAAAATCTTATTGTTTGATACACCTACCTGTTAGCAATAAAGCATATACTAGTAGCACCAACTTTGTTGTGTTGATACAGACACTTTAAGGTGCCTGTGAGGCCATCCCAGAATTCTATGCGTCCATTGCCACAACCCGCAATTATGAGATTGTCTGTACAGGCAACACACCATATGGCTGCACAAGATTTGCCATCAGATAGAGACTCTTCATAGTAGTCTTCAAGGCTCTCCTGCTCCCCTATACATTAACACAATTGTGTTATTATATATGGCAGTAATATTAGAATTGTATTTATAACAGACAATGGTTCAAATAAAGGCCAGTGATCTCTTCAGCAAGGAGCAACTGGGTAATGTTTATTAACTACGTGTAGATCATTTGCATCCTTTGTGTAAGAGGTTTCATTGAAATACTAAAACAATTTTCCTGACAATATTAATTGGGAGCCGATCAATCATAATGAAAATTGGTATGGTTTTGTTTCAGATTTTGTACAGATAAGAATGTATATATCAAGATGATTAATGGAACAAGGATCATATGATGTCAAGGAAAAAAACAACTTCATATTCATTTTACTGGTGAATTTATACCTGAAACCCACACATCAATGCTTAAATAATAGATCAAGACGTCTTACCTCCATGCCAGCTTTTCCTATTTGATGTAAGTTGAGGAGATTTGCCATCCCCATGTGGTCCCACATTCCTTTGTCTCAATGCAACTTTATGTGCCTCATATGCTTGCTTTTCCCTCATTAATTCCTTATGGTCCTCGTAATATTTATCAAAATGGCTAAAATCAAAGCCACTTCTTGAGTCTTGTGAAAAACGACGTAAATTCTGGGAGTTGTCCCAGGGGTGGGGAGTGTAATCTGGGGCACTCCCAATATTGAACTTTACTTGGCTTGGTGTATCCATTGAACTAGAGTCTGCAGCCATGTATTTATTGAACCCAGAATCCCAGGAAACATTCCTAGCATGTTTCTGAAAGCCTGCCCTCTGCTGGGGCTTAGTTCTTGAGTCATGTTGATAGGGGGCACTAGTAGTCCATGAATCTACTGAATGAGCACTTCTATTTGATGAATTACTATTTTTACTTATTGACATAAAATCGGTGTCTATTGTATCTGAGAGATCAGGAAGATGCTCAAATATATCATTGTGTATACTTGGTGATTGTTGATTGAATGTTTCGAAGGGGTCAATTTCCTCCATGCTACTGGCAGTGCTAAGCTGAGGTTGTGTGATGTCAGACGTGGGTGGAGAGCCGTGATACTCTGCGTAGAGATCTGCATCACTGTCATTGATGTTGCGTCCAACACAAGGTTTCCTGCGTAATGGTGGGGTTATGCTGGAAAGGGATAGATTCAGATGTAAAAAGCTCGATTTAATATCCTACCAATTAACACAAAAATCTTGTTGGATTCCAAACAAAAGATTAACATTTTATGATATAAGTGATTGAAAATGTGAAAGGAAAATCCTTTATTCAGTTTAACTATACTGAACTACAATCACATAGTTAATATCAGACTAATTGGTAAAACAAGATTCACAGGAAATATCAATGATTTTGCAAAGTAAAAATTGTCTTGGTGCAAGGCCAGACTCACCATTTTCTTGGTATAGCAGTGAGGCATTCCCCAGATGTAGAGTCCCATACTCTAATCTGACCCCCAAGGCATGCACTGACAATAAGCGGACCATCCGTTACGAGGCATTCAACTTCCTGTTTATGTCCCTCAAGCACCAATGGAAGCGTATCAATAATTTGTTTTACATACTGTGATGATTTTCTCTTACTGCGCTTTAACCTTGTCCATGATGTTCGCCATTTGGCATAATTACGTGAACACATACATCTATATAGCCAAGACATGAAATAAGTCACTACGACAACTGTCGTAAATACTAAAACAAATGTCACGCCAGCCTCAGTTTGGGATTGAGGGTAAAGGCGTTTAGGGTTGAGATGATTTAGGTGGGTTGGCCAGCCTTGGGTTGAGTTGGGGTCACTTTCCTCCAACTCGCGCTTTAAAGTAGCTAGTTTACTCTCCTCTGGGTGGCGGAGTGAAATAGCATCATTGGGGTTGATGAGATCTGAGAGATGAATGGAGGGCAAGATGCTGATGTATCTGAAATTAAAACACATTGCATAGAAAACAACACAGGGATAATTTAAGGTGGGGAGGGGGGGGCGTTGGATGGTTTCGTAAGTAAAATTATGACTGTACAAAACCTAAGAAAACACTGTTTACCTTCCTTGGTTATTAAAGTACAATATAATTTCCAATACATTTACAGTACACTAGCAGTAATAAACCAATGATGGTTTGTAAAAGGAAACGGAATCAGTCAACTGAAATTTGAAAAGATTCACTTTTACTGTATGTTGTTTAAAATCTTACCTTCCAGCAAGTGAAATATTATAGTAGCCAAACAGTGTTGGCCAATGCATATAGGACAATTTCTTCCAGGTTTCATAGTCCTCATGCTTTACTAGTAAAGTGTCCTTGTGAGTGAACTTAGCCACAGTCTCTGCTGCATCTACTTCCCCCTTGAGACCATCTAGGGTGGGCTGCTGTATGAACTTAAGTATTGTAGAGTGGAGGATGGATGTGTTGTCTGCTGCACTAGAGTAGCTGATTTGTATGATATGTTCAACTAGGCCTGATTTGTAGACTATAAGGGTGATCCAGATCACTGTGCAAACCTAGAAAGATAGCGTAAGGTTATGGACACAAGTGATCAATGTACAACGTATGCTTTCATACCCCATTATTATTGAATCCAGGAATAAAGTTTAAATATAACATGCACTTTTACTGTTCATCCACTTTGAAATAAACCACATATTTAATCCCAGCAATTAATAACCTCTTATCTTTAAATTCAGATATGAAGGTTATGAAAAAATGAGTGCCATTGATCCATATAATTTTGGTAGTAAGATGAACCAATTTATCGCATCCTACGACCGCAATATCATCCATATATGGAAATTCCAACATTACCATAATTGCTCTTTGCACCATTCTAGTCCTAGCCCAGAAGAAAATGAGCCTTAATCGTTTAGGCTTTTTAACAGTTGGATCATTTCCATCCTCTGGGGTCAGAGTGGGTGAGGGAGGGGCACCACCTGCGGTCATGTCCATGTTTATTTCTATGGGCTGGACCTTCAAGCTTGCTTTCGATTTCTTCTTAGGACCCATAGATGGCGATAATGCCATGACAGGACATCTGACTGGGTTGACGGGTATTGCAAACCCTGATGGGACGTCATGTAAGCTGGCCATACTCTGATTGTGTTGAAGGTCGGATAACTGAAAAAAGTAGAACAAATTATTTATCTTTTTATTTCAATGATGGAACATGAATTCCAAATAATTGAAGTTCAAAATTATGTGTATGTACAGTACAAATCACATAAATTATAACTTCTAACTATATGACATTAACTATATCTATAATATTTTTGGATCAGATTGCAGCAGAAGTGCAAGCCAAGATGTCCCGATTCAGTTTGACCTAAAGGTTCACCCTGCTAGTGATAACAAAAATGCTAGCATAAACACTTGTTACAAACCATTGCTATATTTAATAAGAGATTTTAAGCTAATGGTTTAAACTATTAGGCCAAAAATACTCAGAGGTGGGGAGGGAGCAGAAATGATTTTAAGGAGTCTACGCTCTCCATAATAAATGTTAACTGTATTTTGAGAAAATAATAAAAAAGGGTAACATAAAAACATCCATAGTGTACCAGGGTTATGTTGCCTGAAAATGCAGGCCCGTAGACAGGGGTATTGGGAGGTGCACTGCAGTTTGTCACCAATCTGAGCACTTTAATGTGATTTTGGGCCAAAATGGTCAAATGTGAACCCCCTTGGAATTTTAAAGTGATTCCCCCTTGAAAAAAGCTGGCTAGGGGCCTGACTTGTCATATTCAATCGTTACTCACCTCCATGCGTCGAATGTCAATAGATAGCACAGTAGCAAAGAAAACCATTTGTAGGAAGAAGTCAGAACATAGTCCAACGACAGCAAACAAGCAGAACTCCTGGAACACACAGATGACAAGAGCCATGAGAAATCTATGCATTTACACTTCTATTACCTACTGCTGTAATACAGACTTTCTAGAACACAATATTTTCTGTACATAGTGAAATACACATTCTTGAACACAATATTATCTGTACATCGTGAAATACAGACTTTCTAGAACACAATATATTCTGTACATAGTAAAATACTGATTTTCTAGAGCACAATATTTTCTGTACATAGTGAAATACAGACTTTCTAGAACATATTATTTTCTGAACATAGTGAAATATATTTTCTATAACACAATATTTTCTGTACATTGTGAAATACAGACTTTCTAGAACATACTATGTTTTGTACATAGTGAAATACAGACTTTCTAGAACATAATATTTTCTGAACATAATGAAATATATTTTCTATAAAACAATATTTTCTGTACATTGTGAAATACAGACTTTCTAGAACATATTATGTTTTGTACATTGTGAAATACTGACTTTCTAGATCATAATATTTCCTGTATCTAGTGAAATAGACTTTCTAGAACAAAATATTTTCTGAACATAGTGAAATACACATTCTAGAACACAATATTATCTGCACATAGTGAAATACAGACTTTCTAGAACACAATATATTCTGTACATAGTAAAATACTGACTTTCTAGAACACACTATTTTCTGTACATAGTGAAATACAGACTTTCTAGACCATAATATGTTCTAGAACATAATATTCTCTGTATATAGTGAAATACAGACTTTCTAGAACACAATATTTTCTGTACGAAGTGAAATACAGACTTTCTAGAACATAATATTTTCTGTACATAGTGAAGTACAGACTTTCTAGAACATAATATTTTCTGAGTATACATATTAAAATACAAACTTCCAAGAGCATAATATTTTCTGAATATAATAAACTTTCTAGAGAACAATTTTTTTTGGACAAAGTGAAACAGACTTCGAGAACACAATATTTTCTGTACATAGTGAAATACTGACTTTCTAGAATTAAATATGTTCTGTACATCTATTTCACAATTTTGCAGATCCAAAAACTACTGATGATGAACAAACAGCTAGCAGGTCAGCTGCAGTTCAGAGTGATTTTATGCCCTGACACTACAGTTGATATTTTAAAAACATATGGTCTATCTGTTAGGACTTATCCTTTGAAATCATTCAACTAAAACGCTTACTTAAATAAAAGCTGCTCCACATGAAGTCACATAAAAATGCAACAAATGTAATGCACCCATTCAATATAATACTGAACATAACAAGATTCAGATAAAACCCCACATGAGAGGACATGTATAAGTGTGTCATTGAATGATAAAAACATCAAGTAGTACCTGGTTTGTACTGTCAAAGTGAACGCATGTAGTACAAACAATGACAACATAATTCACTACCTGTGAAAATGCGACATTTAATGATACTCATCTGTGTATCCATTTTACACCTATCAGGTAAGAAAGGTTTGGAGATATTCTCATATTTCTTACATAATTATATTTTATACAGAGTATATGTTATAGAGGCATTATAATTATAGAGCTTACTCGTGTAAACAAATTAAAAAAATATGACAAGGTCACGGTATAGATCTGTATGTTAGTTATTTTAATGGGTGAATTAGAGTTATGTTATTTTTAGGAAAACAAACTCATTCCATATGCAGTATAGTTACCATCTTAAACACAAAGTGAGAATCAATGAGTACAAATGTAATTTCAGATGCTTTCCCATACTCTGCAATTGGTCCACAGTCTGGTCACCATAGCAACTACTATGATACCATAGTGAACTATTTTTACAATCGTGATTACAAAGTGCCGCATCGAAACAAACATATCAACACTGGTGAGGACTCAGGTAAAATTAATAATGTAAGACAGGTACCAACTCAGACTCTCATAATGGCCCAGTCATTGTGACATCTCCATGTCTTCAAAAAACTATTATGTACACAATATTGCAAAGTAATGGATAAGTTATCAGAATATTTTTGGCACACAAGTTATTTTTGGGAACTAAAATTGAGTAGAGTGAAACCTTTGTAGCCAAACACCTCACTAATCTGAACAACTCTCAATATGAACACTTTTTGTCAGTCCCAAACAGTTACTCATATATTTAAAAACTTTGATCTGTAAACACCTGCTAATTTGAACACTTTTTGCCAGTCCTCAAATCCTTTTAAAATCATCTAATTTGCACACACAAACAAAGCATTAACATACAAAATGGTACCACCTGCCATTTGTTACAGAGACCAACCGCCGACATAAAAATGGATTTTCACCCCTCCCCTTTCTCTCAAACAAAGTTACTTCTACCTGTGGATGTTCATCAAGTTAAAGACCTTGCCCCTTACAGGTTTTAGCATTTTGGTTATTGAATCATTGCACAAGATTTACAAAAGCATTCTGATCTCTCTGTTTATTCATACAGACACATAAAGCCATATAAGGCAAGTACTCTGTACGACCCACAGGCTTATTTACATTTAATGACCTGCATCTAGCAGCAAACAATAAACAAGCACAGCTTATTATTATAAAACTTGTTTTTGTATCAATCCACAAAACAAGGAAGTCAGAGAGAAAACATTGAAATTAAAACTGGACGTTTATGTAAAACAATGGATTCTGTTCTATTAAAATTGACAGTTGCAATATTATCTTTGCTGTCTATGGCTGAAGGTAGGATCTGAACTTTACCTAGATTAATCAACATACTATATTTTTCTCTGCAAAAAATCTTCAATATACACAGGTTTTACTGATGCGAGATACTGATAAGTGATGCGCTATGAAACAAAATGAAACCCTACAGGTCATAAATACCTGCTGAAGGAACATTCATTTTCACTGAACGTTATGCAATGTTTTAACAAGGCATTAACATGACAAAATGTCACCACCTAAAACAATTTGGTCAATTTAAAGCAAGTTGAAAAAATACCTCTTTGACTTTTTTTGACATTGAGAAGGTCATTGAAGGTCAAATGTCAAATGCAAAGTCAGATTTGAACTTCTGAGAACATGTAGATGATTTTGAAAAAAAAATTAAGTAAATTTGAAGCAAGTTGAAAAAATACCTTTTTGACCTTGAAAAGGTCATTGAAGGTCAAATGTCAAATCTAAAGTCAGATTTGAACTTCTGAGAACATGTAGATGATTTTGAAAAAAAAATTAAGTAAATTTGAAGCAAGTTGAAAAAAGACCTTTTTGACCTTGAAAAGGTCATTGAAGGTCAAAGGTCAAATCTAAAGTCAGATTTGAACTTCTGAGAACTTGTAAAGTCAAATTTGAATTTCTGAGAACATGTAGATGATTTTGAAAAAAAAAATTAGTCAATTTGAAGCAAGTTGAAAAAAGACCTTTTTGACCTTTTTTTGACCTTGAGAAGGTCATTGAAGGTCAAATGTCAAATCTAAAGTCAGATTTGAAGGTCAAATGTCAAATCTAAAGTCAAATCTAAAGTCAGATTTGAATTTCTGAGAACATGTAGATGATTTTGAAAAAAAATTTAGTCAATGTGAAGCAAGTTGAAAAAATACCTTTTTGACCTTGAGAAGGTCATTGAAGGTCAAATGTCAAATCTAAAGTCAGATTTGAACTTCTGAGAACATGTAGATGATTTAGAAAAAAATTGAAGTCAATCTAAACAGTATTTGTTAAGTTATAGGAAGTTGTAAGAAATTGTTACAGACGCCGGACGCCAACCTCCAACCACCAACCGCCGGACGCCGTCGCAAAAAAACGGAGACCATAACAATATGTCACCACTTTTGGTGGTGACATAAAAACCTTAATTACAGCACAACATGCTAGCTATTTGTATGGAAGGTGTGCAGTAAGACCCAATGAGTTCCCACCAGCAGATGAAACCCAACAGATCAAAGGCACAGTAGAGTTCCGCCAGCTTGTCACAGGGGGGCCTACAGAGGTTAAAATCTCCCTCCAGGGCTTTAACGTTGATGATAGTAAAGTGAAGCATGGGTTTCACGTCCATGGGTCAGGGGACCTGACTGGAGGGTGCCAGTCAACTGGGGGACATTATAATCCATTTGGTAAAACACACAGAGCACCAAATGATGTTGAAAGGTAAATAATACCGACAAATATGAAGCACAATTTACATGTTCAAGCATTAATACTAATTTTAGCATACTGGCTATCAAACATGCAAGTTAGCAAAACCTACCTGATATTCTTGTTTGTCCATTCAGACAGCACAACAATTTATCATTTGACAAATCACAGCAAGTGTAATTGTTAGTGAGTTGTCCTGAGAGACATCATTAGTTCTAGAATTTTCTTGCCAATAACATTCATTTTACAGTTAACCCCTATATTGCATCTAACGCAGGACGAATACAAACAAATATTCTTCCTTGACCTACATGTAACTTAGAATTAATTCAATATTACAGACATGTAGGGGACCTGGGCAATATAGTAGAGAACTCTGAGGGACGTGTGGAAACAACAATCACAGACAGCCAGCTATCTCTCACTGGAGAGTACTCAATCTATGGCAGAGCTATAGTGGTAAAATACAGATAAATTAATTGTTTTAATACAATTTTCTTGCAGGGGATATGCCAGTTTATTTTACTGTTAGTTTCTCTTTTCATTTGAATGAAGTCACTTATTTCCTGGCAGATTTCCCATCTTGGATTTAAATCTGTCACCCTGAACCCGGGACAGTACAATTTCTTGAATTATGCAATGGAATTTGAAATTGTCTATAAATGAAACGAATGGAATTCATTCAGTGGCTTTTAGGAATGAATGCATAAACTTGTCAAAAAAAACTGTGTGATCTGAATCCTCCTCGCTGAATTACTCTTTTAAAAACTTTTTTTATAATTGTTCATTTAAATTCAAATTCTACTGTGATATTAATCATGAAAACTCTAAATGAATGGCCAAGAATATAAAAATTGCAACAAGTAGGAGTTCTTGGATTTTATGCACTCATCATTTTCATGTAAATATACATTGTTTGCATCTTTCTTATGACTAGGTTCACCAAGGGGAGGATGATTTAGGAAAGGGAGGAAATGAAGGTAGTCTGAAGACGGGGAATGCTGGGGGAAGACTGGCATGTTGCATCATTGGAAAGATAGACAGTGACTCTGGATGGGCACAAGAAATCAACTAGCAACCAAGAATATTCACTGACTAGTAGGAAATACCAACAAGTATAATTGGATTTCAAGATTTATCATGGAGAATGAACTATTTCCAATATTTCAAATTAAATTTCATGCTAAAGAGCATATCTTTCATTTGAGTATAATAAAGATTTGAACCTGAAAAGTCTATTGATTTTGTTTCTTCGTTCATCTATTTTAAGCCTATACCATTTTGTAAAAATCCCTGCTTCATAGCAGAAATATTTCCCCAATAGAGCTCAAAATTAAAAGTAGTGGATTTAAATTAAAAATGAACATTTACCTAACTTCACATCCTATTATTGTACACTTCAGGTGTTATTTAAATATACATATTCAAAAATGATTCAAATGACTCCTATTTGGAATCTTTGCATGCTAAATAAATAACTCTGACATACCTGGATAGCAGGGACAAATGTGAAGAAACCAACAAAGAGAATAAACAGCTCAGTGATCAGATTCTTGGTGATATTCCAGCCTTCCTTGCCTAGTCCTGTAACACATTCAGAATAATAATAAATAAAAAACATTTATGTAAATTCTAAAAGATATTGCTAGGCACCCTGACTGAATTAGTATATTTGAAAAAGAGGTTCATTCATCCATCCCAACTACCCCATAAGTTTGGGTTTGGTTTTCATTTTTTCCAATTTTCGACATAAGCAAATCTTCCCAAAAGAACTTCAAAATCTTAAATAAAAAATATCTTGGATGAATAAAGAAAAAATACCCCAATCACAATGATATTCATTATTCTATCCTATTTTTCTAAATATTGTCAAATAGACACTACACACTACACAGGAGACAGATTTATAAGATCCCCAAGAGGGAGTGTGCAGCATACAGGGTGATCCAGAAGTAACGTCAAAGATGTTGTAATTTCAAAAGTATTCATCAGATCTTCATGAAATTTGGTATACATGTACCCACAACATTTCTGAGTTACCATCTCAAAGATTGGAATTCAATCATTTCATTGGTTGAAATTATGGTTGCTATAGTAACCCGATATCGCGTAACCCGGGGCAAATTGAAGAGAAACCATAACGTTTTTGTGAATTTCTCTAATTTAAAAAGTCAGTAACATTTGAAAATGTTCATTGTTTGTTTTCTATGATTTTTATATTTGTTGCCATGGTAACAAATATGTAATAGTTGTGATGTCACAATAGGCATTCATAAAAAGCTTTCAATTTCTTTGAATTGCTTCCATCATCCATGACAAATACTAACATGACCAAGGACACTAACCCACCCAATTCAAGATGGCGCCAAGTCAGAGTAAAATAGAGCAAAGAACAAACATTAAGTTCTGTGTAAAGTTGGGGAAAGGTGTAAAAGAGACTATAAGACAGATAAAGAAGGCATATGGTAAAACTGCCATTGCTGAGAGAAACATTTACAGGTGGTTTAACAAGTATTCCAGTGGATATGATGAAGTGGTAGACAAGCAGCGAGGAGACAGGCCAGTGTCGTCACTCGATGATCAAACCATCAAAGCAATTGAAGCTGATGTTATGGACAATAGGCAAATTTCTATCAGAGAATTGGCTGAAAAACACGATCTGAGCTATGGGACTGTGCAACGGATACTGACAAAGAACTGTCTGTTAAAGAAGGTGTCTGCTAAATGGGTGCCGCATGACTTGACACAGGAGCAGAAAGACCGGCGTGTTAAGGCTTCAAGGGACTTTCTTGCAAAATATCGGAGAGATGGAGATGACTTTCTTAACAAGATCATTACGAGTGACGAATCATTGCTATCATTCTACATCCCAGAGACCACGCAACAAAGTTCATCATAGAAACATGACAACTCCCCAACACCAACCAAGCCTAAAATAGTACCAGGAATTCCACAAAAGAAACAAATGGTTGTGACATTCTTTGACATTAGAGGAATGGTGTTAACCCATTTTGTTCCCATTGGCCAGAGAATTAATGCCGTTTACCTTGCAAAGGTAAGATATCATTTGTTCTAATAATACATCATACTGTGAATTTTATTTTTAAATTAAAGTATTTAAATGTTGTTCACTGTCAATATAATTATAACTCCATGGCCATGATTCAAATCCAAATCCAATCAATGAAACAACTGGTTTAACAACCATTAAACATTTGTTTTTCAGGTTCTGAAGCGTGATCTTCAACGTTCCCTGAGGAAAAAGCGTCCCGGACATCTGCAGCAGTTTATCTTGCATTGGGACAATGCCCCTACGCACACTGCAATCCTGACCAGCAACACAGTCCAAACACTTGGATTTCAACAACTTGAACATGCCCCTTATTCACCTGATCTTGCCCCCAGTGACTTTTATTTGTATGGGGAACTAAAAAGAAACCTTAGTGGAAATAATTTTCAATCCTGTGAGGAATTGAAAAATGCCGTAGTACTAGCCCTACAAGGAATGAGTTCTAATGGATTTAATTCTGTGTTCAAGGAATGGGTATCCAGACATGAGAAATGTGTTGCAAATGGTGGCAATTATGTAGAATGAACTATTATTAGTAACTGTGCAATAGTATGATTTATATTGTTGTGAAATAAAATGTTGAGGATATAACAATTTCAGATCTTGTTGATATTTTGAGATTACGCATTACACGTTAAGTAATTTGCCCCGGGTTACGCGATATCGGGTTACTATAGCAACCATAATTTCAACCAATGAAATGATTGAATTCCAATCTTTGAGATGGTAACTCAGAAATGTTGTGGGTACATGTATACCAAATTTCATGAAGATCTGATGAATACTTTTGAAATTACAACATCTTTGACGTTACTTCTGGATCACCCTGTATATACAGGCTACACAGCTAGCAAACAAGGCATTAGCATGCAAAATATCACCCCCTGCCAATTGATACAGATGCTGAGTCGCTGGCTGCTTAAGACCATCCACAAAATAGATGGAGACTCTAACAATATGTCACCCGTTATCAACATGCTTTCACTGGTGATCCACTCGATTACGCTGGTTACCAAAACGAACCGTTTTGGTAACAAAATGTCGGAACGTCAAAGGCACGATTTTTCTTTTTTCCTAATTTCACGCGTTGTAGGCAGAATCCCCACGACGTTTTTTCTCACAACGTCCATCAGTATCATATGTTTTAGAAAATGTACATGTTTGCGATAAAATAGCTCAGAGGACAACAGAATCGTCGATTTACTTCCTCACTTAAGTTACATAAACGGTTTTTCGAAAAACAGTTAAGATCTGCACTTTTAACCCAAACCGTTTATGTAACTGAAGTGAGGAAGTAAATCGACGATTCTGTTGTCTTCTGAACTATTTGTTCGCAAATATGTACACTTTCTTAAACATATGATACTGATACACGTTTGTGTTAAAAAATGTCGTGGGAATTCTGCCTACAACGTGTAAAATAAGGAAACGAGAAAAATCGTACCTTCCGGATGTTCCGACATTTTGTTACTAAAACGGTTCGTTTTGGTAACCAGCGTAATCGAGTGGATCACCAGTGATGCTTTGTAGAACCAGTAATAAAATGGTCATGGTATAATCCATTTTACATTCTCTAATCTTTCTAATTCCTAGACTATACTTGGTAAACATACCTTGAGCTATCCTTATTTTAACATCAAGGTGTACTGGGGTAGAGACGACTGACTTGGTGATAACCAGGACATTCTCTAAGCCTATGATCACTACTAGGTATGGGAAGATCTCACTGAAAGTGGAACAAATGATCAGATCATAGATATTATACAAACAAGATGTAGGGTGGACAATATCCTTGAATATAATATCTAGAATGATTAAGAGTGCAAGGTTTGGTAATATTATGATGACTGTTTCATATATTATTTTCCTTACAAGGGATTAAAGTAATGATTGTAAATCTACAGGTCCAACATTTTGACATGGAAATGTGTAGACAAGACTTTACAGATAAAATGCTGTAAGGTCAGGTGCCTTTCATGGTTCTCTTTAAAGTAAGACTTACCCGCCATTCAAGTTTGGAGTGAGCCCAAAGAAGACACAGATGCCAACTGACATGAGGAGAGAGCCTATAACAGTTGCTACAGCACTCAATGCAAGGCCCCACTTGGACTTCACCATCTCAATTTTACCTAGAAAATATACAAATGCCAAATTAAATTTAAGCCTGTTAGAACTACATGTATAACAGCAAACACTACTTTACTGCAAATGGCAACCAATTTTCACATTTGGTAAATGACTTGGAAAAACTGGTTGCACATTGGGGGAAGGCTCAATGCCAAAATGTTTCTTGTGGAAATTATCTTTTCAAGCTTAGTCCTGAACTCTATTTATGATCTTAAATAATAAAGAATATCTACGAATAAAAAATGATCTTGTATAAAATGAGAAAGTGGCATCCATTTGAAGAAATGTAAAATATGATATGATGAACTAAAATGAGTCATCATCTTTAAGCATAGATAATCTTCAGAGAGTAATTTTTGCAAAAAACAAAAACTATTTTCAATGGCGAAAATAGATTTTTAACAATTAGAAAGTACATGGCAATCTCCTTATCATACTTACTGACTGAGAAATATAGATAGAGGAAGAGGGCTACATAGACTACTATGATAGGAATGTATTCCACAAAGTAGCTGTTGTCCTTGAAGTATTGATGAGCTATGTGAGAGACCTCTGTATTGTTAGCTGTCTCAGCTGTAAGAGGGAAGGCCTCTTCTAACTTCTCCCTTAGTGAATTTATTAACCTTAAAAATATACATGTAGTTATAAATGCATCACACACATCAGATATGTCCATAATAATTTCTAATATGATTGTGCAGGGCAATAGTATTCAGCAGAATGGAATACTCTTATTAATCGATGATCCATAATTTAGCTCTAATTACAAAAGCATGGTAAAATTCCTGAAAATTTTCCTACCATTTTTATCATTCTAATTAATATGTGATTCTCTAGCTTTTCAGTCAGATCGAAGAAACCTTTACAGGCATTTCAATATTTGAATCTACTAAGGTTTTGCCTAATCAGGTCAAAAATGATTTTCTTCCTCACTGAAGTAATGAGAGCACTACAATACTGCAGTGTTAGGTAATACTCACTTTTGATCATATGATTTCAAGATGATTGTGATTGCATATGTGATGACTCGTTG